ACAGGAAGCAACAGCATTGAGGGTACAATTTGGGCGGCCACTTCGCAGGTACACACAGCTGATCAGGCTCTGCTTCCACTGACTTGCCATAGCTTCGTTGGACAGGATAGGCAAATCAGCTCCTGTCCCCCTGCAAGAAGAAAAAAAGGTGCACGGCAGTCGCCATGTACAGGCGTTTTTACACACACACACACACACACACGCACACACGCGCGCGCAGACAGAGACAGACAGACAGACGGACAGACGGACAGACAGACAGACAGACAGACAGACAGGGAGGGGGGAGAGAGGGAGGGAGGGAGGCAGGGACGGACGGACGGAGGGACGGACGGACAGACAGACACACAGGGAAGTAACAAAGGCATCTCGCAGGATGTGTGATATGGCGAGCACGCGCACACTCTGTTTTGCATCACTTTCACTTTCATGGCACAGGCCAGTCGGATGCAGCCGTGTTGGCATGCACTAATTAAACACGGGGAGGTGGCGCAGAAATTTCTAGACAAAGTAATTATGCGCTCACCCAAAACTAGCAGAATTGACAAACTGTTCCACCCCAATGACAAATCAAGTGTGACGGCACATGGACACTGCATCCGAATGCTCGGAAGACGAGGGTGCATAGTATTCCGTAACCGGCCATCAAAGCACCAGACAGTACAGCATCAGAGACTTGCGAAATCTGGTGGCCAGGCAGGCAGTCAGCAGAAGGATCTTTCACACGAGGACGAGAATGCTCGGCAAACAAGGGATGCTTTGCATTCCGTAGTCGTCTAGCAATGGAGATTGTGAACATGGGTACCGGATGAGGCCATCCTACACACTTAACATATCCAAGATCTCGAAACACCTTCATCGAGGTGATATCAGGGACATCAACTGCGACATGAAGATGGCTCTTGCATCACTCACTTGCTCAGGAACTGCTAGGTCAGCATCAGATCCAACACTCCGTAGTTCATTTTAATGATCCAAATGCCCTCGCCTGACGAGCCTCTGCTCTGCTTGATGACGCGCGGCTGGAAAGTCACCGTCTTCTTGAAGCCAGCTGCAAACTCTAACCTGTAGTTTGCGAGCGTGTCCTCCAAACCAGTGTTCAACATGGCCACCTTCGCCCCCTTGAACGCATCACGTCGGGTGAGGTGCAGTAGTTGCTTGCTGATGATCCAGATGCCTCGCCCGACGAGCCTCTGTTCCGGTCTTTTGAAATCCGGCCGCAAACTCCTCTGACACTGTTGGAGCGTGTCCTCCAAACCACTGTTCAGCATGGCCACCTTGCACAGCGTGGCCTTCGTGCCCATCAGCGCTAGTACGCCAGGTGAGGGCCAAACCTGAATGCCCAGCCTGTGCGTAGCGCACATGCCATCAGTCACTGCGGCAGACGCACCCATGGCCGGTGCTGAGGCGCTACGATCTTCCGCGCCATGCGGCAAATTGGGCAGTACTGTTTTGCAGATGCACATACATACACGCGCACATGTATTCTTCATATATGAACACACACATACATCTACGCAACATTGCTGCACATTCATACGAGGTGACATGCCTGATTGACGAATGTTGCATACTGCGCCGATCCAACAGGCAAACTTCTTCCATGGTGCAGGACTAAGCCTGTCCAATTTTGCTTCGGTCTAATTAGCTGGCTGCAACAACAGCGCGAGGGCCTTTTTCTTCCAGTTCTAGGCGAGACATGATGAGATACTGGCTGCGAACATGTGATGGATTTCACATCAGAAACCGGTTGCAGCCTTCTGCCAAGGTCAATCTCTGGCGGGCCGAGGTCTCAGCTTGTGCAGCCGGGCTTGGCGGGATTTGGGCTGTGCATTTTCAGCGGCACGACGGGCTTTTCACGGGTCTCAAGCCTCTGATGGTAAGCTGGTGTGCAAGCTGTGTCCCGACGACCACTGTCGTCACTTGAATAACTCATTGCCCTCCTTCCCTGCTGCTGTGTCTCTGTCGTCAGGACCAGTGGAGCAGTAGGGAGCGCTGGTAGGGGACGGCCTCTAAGGATGCTAGAGACCTGCTCAGCGGCAAAGAGGTCTCTCCGCCTGGCCTTAGGGTTCGCTTTCGGATATGATATGGTTCTCTTTGCATCTGGTCGTCTCGCTTGACGCTTGGGATCAATCAAGGCAGTGTGATGGAGAGACTCGTCGTTGACGAGACCTCGCGATGTGAGACATGTGCGCGCGCGCACATTCTGCATGCACCATGATGCAGATTCACCGGCCCTCTCCAGAAAGAAGCCGTGGCTGTGATGTCTTATGTGGACGGTGAGATGCTGTTGTAAACCAGATAGTTGCAGATGTGCAGGCAGAGCTGCCAATCCTTGTGCCACCACCGGCACATCGAGTACTGGATCTCGGCCAGGCCGGGGTCTTCTCTCCAGGCCACACAGGCAGCAGATTCGGTGGGACGCTATCGTCGGGTGAGCGATGGGCTGTGGGGGACCAGCCTGCACTGCTGCACAGCAACGGTTGCTTTCATGGCCACAAGTTCGGTGAAAAAATGTTGCAGCGTTGAGTTGATCTGCGGCACGCGGGTTGCCCATGTGAAGCAGACGCCAAGTCATCAAGCTCCTCGGACAGGCAGCCACCACAAAGCCAAGCAGCAAGAAACGGAGCAGCAGGAGACGTCGGCAGCCGTTCTGGAGGGGACATGATGCTGATTTAGGGCCCTCAATTCTGTTTTGGCACTTCGCAACAGGAGGACGCTGGTGGAAGGCTCGGGATTCGTGCATATTCCAGAGGCTCAGAAGCGTGTTGTCCTTAGTTTATGCCCGCATGCGACTGCAACCTTGTCTACAGGCACCGTCCAAGAAGCCACTCAATAAAGGAAGAGCGCTGAATGTTGCGAGGGCGTATAAGATAGCATGCATACATGTATAGTATACAATGAGAAGCTTTTTCGGCTTTGAGTTGGCAGTTCCCTGCACGGCAGGACTTTGGGCCAAAGTGAAGTTGTGATTAGCACATCTCCGATACACAGTCACCACCACCGAAAATTGCTTTATCGTTTACAAACGTGTTTACAATTACCCGCCGTCGCCACTGTTGTTTCGTGGTCTCTATTGGTTTTGCGTTACTGCCTTTCAATATGCACCATCAAAATCACGTCAGTAAACAATGTAGTCACCTCCGTCACGAGGGGTGGAATAGCTAGAGGTTGGGGTAGTTGCCAGACAGGGTCAAGAATCCGCAAAGGTCATTGCCGGATGTGCTGCTTGGGCATCATGGCTGACCCATGTCTGCCCATACCCAGGTAGATCGAAGCTGCCTAAATCTCTGCAGTTCGAAGCTGCGCAGCGTGGCGCTTGACCAGCAAGCGCACGAGAGAGAGTTTGAGCCCGGTTGCATTTCAAGCTGACAGAAGGCCACCGCCGTCAGCAGTTAGTTGCTGACCGCTGCTACCTATTGTCCTGCTGAGGCCTCCCGCTGCAGAGGCACGTTGCACAAATAGGCTTCTTTTGTGCGATGTGCCGAAGGGTCACGCTGACGTGTTTTTTCACCGGGCGGTTCTCAAGAAGTCGTGCTAGCAGATTATCTTGGTGCATTTGCAGTCCTTGACCCTGTTGCAGGTCGAGGCACAGGACAACCGCCAAGCGCTGGAGAAGACAGGCCTGCACAGCCCGGACAGATTGCCTGAGATTTACGGAGGAAGCAGTCTAAAGGCCCTGTTGGACAGTTGGTGTAACTTTGAAACTCAAGCTTGCCGCCGGTGGCCATTGCTTATGCCGACAGGTTAAGAGTCGTGTCGGAGTGTCCACAGTCGCATGCATTCCGGTTTTGGGTCTTGTTGCCTGGTTTGCGGCAGGCCTTTCAACCGCGCAGCAGGGCTCCGTGACTGAATCCGGGAGGGCAGCGTGCCATCAGGTTTGGACGTTGCATAAGGAAGGATCGGAGCCTGGCAGGTAAGCAGGTAGGTAACTCTGTTGTTGTGCCTAGCAGGGCAGCCGTAGGAATAGTCTGGCGCTCATGTTGGTCATGAAGATGTTATTCCAAGGCGCCCTAGAGGTCGACCGGGCTTATGTCGCCCGACAGCTGGCTCAGCAGGCCCCGGCCAGTACAGGAATAGCTGCATGATCGAGGATTGATTTATAGTTTATAGTACTGTAGGTGGCCCGAGCTCTTCGATTGCTTTGCTACCGACAAACTTTCTTGTCAAGAGTTCCACGGACGAGGGTGGACAAACTTGCGCGTGTTTCGTCTGTCGTGCAATCATAGGCAGAGAAGTGACCTAGAAATTGAAATTGAACTCGGCCGGAGCTGGGAGGCCTGGCCGCAGCATGCGCAGGGGGAATCTGGGGCGTCTCTGCAGGTGGAGGAAACCAACAAAGAGGCTTCATTTCAGAGACAGGCAGCCGCCGTGGTCGGAGGGCCCAGAAACAAAGAGTGTGCGTTTTGGTCATGGAGATTTCAGAGTGCATGACCTGTTTGATGGTCCTTTGTCAAACCACGGCATGCTCCTGAGCGCTGGATGCAACATTTTTGTTTTTCGAGGGACTTGCAGGGCATCAACCTGCAGATACCTATAGTGTATGCTCGTGCAGCGGGAATCCTACATCTGGCAAGGCAGCACAGAGCACCACTTCCCGATTTCTAGGCCACAAGACTTCCATGAGGTGCAGCAGGTGATTGTCAAGATGGTTCGCCGTGGGTCTGTCTGGGTGTCGCGAAGCAATTTCGTGCTTGGCTTGGGCAACCCCCCAAGGCCGATCGCTGGTGGTCGTCGATCTTCTTGCCCGTCCCGGCTCCACGGCAGCTCCTCCCCGAAGCCTTGGCGCATAGCCCGGAGACGTTCTGGTCTTTTTCAGAAGCCGTGGCCGCCTCGTCTCTGAGGCAGGCCAAGAGGGCCTGGCCCGGGCCCCTGCGCCAAGTCGGTCGAGTCACGCAGAGTAAAAACGTAGCCCATGGCTGGCGCAGGCTTGACCCCAGCGTTCAGCAAGCCAGCGTGTAACACGAAAGGTCAACGAGGTCAACCATCCTGCGAAGCCGGTGGCTTTCAAAACGAAGGCGCATCAGTCAGAGAAGCAGCGTATCTATCGATTGTTGCTGCCGGCTGCTGCAGGACCATTTGTGGCAGGAGCAGCAGCTCTAAAGCACGTCAAACAATCACATATCTGTCTTCATGATGAAGTGTTCCGTTTTGCCAAACAGCTGGCCGAGTTCTCACTGGCCAATCTCTTCGAAGGTAAAGCTGGCACCAGAAGAGATCGAGGAGATCGTGCGGCTTTGCCGTCTCTTCGCCGGCCTGACCCAACCAGAAACCTTGGAGGCCTTGCTGCCAAGCGCCAGTAGAGAGCAGCTGCCGTAGCTGGCGGGACAAGAGCTCCCTTCCTTCCACTGATCCACCCAGAAGGCCTGAAGGCACATGGGTCGTCGCAGACAGGCCCGAGACCTTTGAAGAAGTGGATTGCCTTCTGCGTGGTGTTCAGATACCACCCCCCCCCCCCCCGCAGCTATGTTGCAAGTTTCAAGTGAAAGAGTGGCGCCTCTCGTGCATGAGGTGGCAAAGGGGGACTCTGGCGCCGAGGCGAACGAACTGGTCTTGAGCAGGCCAGGGGCAAACTATTGTCATTCGCCGGTGCAGCGACAGCCACTTGCAAGGCCTGCCTTCTGCCAACTTCTGATCGCGCTTGGGATCTCCCCCCGGGCTCAAAACCTCGTGTTCAGAGCTCGGTAGTAGGCGTATGGAAAGGTCTTCGTGAGGACAACTGGGTTGCTGGCCGAGGCCAAGATATCATCGAGTTGTGAATTGCTTCGACGCACAGGCCGGTTTGAGAGTCTTAGGGTTCTTGACGCTTCTTGACGGGCCTCCCTCACTCCCTTCCGTCCCTCACGTTTTCGGCAAATCCCCTTCTTTTAAAGCCGAGGGTCCCGGTGACTGTCGTCACCTGCCTCGTTTCTCCGTTTGGGACCATAAGATGGAGGGTCGTGTGGCGAATGCCAGGCGCCTGATCAGACAAGGAAGGCTCAAAGCCAGCATCGGCCAGAATGTTCTTTCGGTTTTGTTAGACTTCGCATACTTACGACCTGCTACATGCAGAGCATTGACTGGTGGCCAGTTGCCGAGGCCCATCTTTTGGCCATTCCGTGGCCGTAAGACCACGGACGATGTCTCAGTGAGCCGGTTCAGTAAAGGATCTTCCGGCTGAGTTGCGGCGCGCCGCTGTGCTATCTTCCAAATTGTCCAAGCCTTTGACAGGGTGGCCCCCACACCCCCAGCAAACTTGAGGGTCAGTGAGAACAGTTCGGCCCATGTCGTAATCCTCAGCTCATGACAATAAGCATCCTACCCTTCAATTTCCATTGGACTTGAGGGATGCATTGCGGATGCATCTGACCTTTTCATGGCCGAGGGCATGCCTAATTCAAAGACGAGGCCAAGCAGTGCCTGGTCAGTGGCATGCCGGTGTCCGGTGGCATGATCTTGGGACTAGTGTCCGGTTCTCAGTGCGCTGTGGCCGGGACGCCCTCCGAAGTCAGCTTCCATCTTCAGGCTGCCCTGCCTTCCCGAGAAACCGGTCCCGTCCTCTAGACTTTCCACAGGTTGCTGTGCGCTTGCCTAGCTCGTTGTTGCAGAAGCTTCAGGACGAGAGCGCGATGTGGCAGCTGGTGAACGCTGCGAGCCCGGTGCGGACAGACATACTCCTGCCTTCACACAAATGAGCAAAGTTCAGTGATTAAGGCTGTTCCACTCACTTGTGATGTGTGGTTCAGACAGAACTGTGGTCTACAGGGGAGTTCCGCTGAGTTAGTCACCTTCCCCTGCCTGAAGCCTGAAACCCGGAGAACATGTCAGCGTAGTCGAGCCTAGCCCAGGATTCGAAGACCGTGGCACTTATGAGGTTCCTTTCGCGGCAAATTCGGAACGTGCGGAACTGTCCCAAACCGAACACATCCATGGAGGCTTTTCGGATTGCTGCTCGACGACATGGCAACGAATCCCCTTTTAGAAGGGCAGGACCTTCCAATGTCTCTTGCTCCACTCCGGCAAAGTCTGAACCCTGCTTTCCCAGACAGCTCGATGACAACCCAATCTCGACCAGGAAGTCCGGATCAAGAGTTGTCTGTGCAGGACATGGTTGAGGCACTCCCACGTGCCAAGAAGCACTTCTTTTTCAGCTTGCTGCCTGCTGCCCAGGCAGGATGGGGTGGTTCTGCATTGGCCCGAAGATTCCCCCAAAGCCAAGCCTTTTTGTCGAGGGTTTGAGGGAACAGAAAAGATGGCCCGGGTCCGGCCCCTTCCGTTTTTTTTCCGGCAGGGTTGAACCAACTACTTCAGTGGGTTTCGGTTACCTGGATCAGACTTTTTCTGGCAGACTCAGTTGAGGTCAGCTTGAAGTTCTCAGCAGTCGGCACAGATTCTGATTTAAGTTTTTCTTGAATATCCAGTGTGCTCGCTCGCAGCACTGTACGGGTAACAATTTGGTTAGGGGCTCGACAGAGAGAGGGTCATTAGGGTCGAAAAATGTTGCCAAGAGGCAGCTTGAGGACTTCAGGCTTCCCGTTAGTTGCTGTTGCACCGACCCTCTCAAACTTGTCTACAACGTTCTGGGTACAGATCGCGATTCTTCTGCTCGCTGAGCTTTTGAGCCCCATTTGTGACAGTGCCGTCCGACAGGCCTATGCAGACGCTCGCCGCCGGCTTCTACATCAAATGGCAAGGGCCCGTGCATGGTGCCCGCTTGAATAGGGTTTGAATGCCTCGTTTACAGTCAGCGAATCGTTATTCCATGCCCATGACTCCGAGTCCGTCAGAATCAGGGAGATAACATGCCCGACGTTATTCTCACCTTGCGAGGCTGCAAAAGCTCAGAAACAGGCTCAGCGCTCCGCGCCGTAGCTGCTCTTCCGTGGTTTCTGCCGTCTCGAGGGCATGAGAGCCTGTACGTCACACCCGGTACCTGCAGTACGTGCGTGATGTTATTCCTGGATGTTGCAAGAATGCAGACTAAAGGTATTTGCGCTTTCACGCAAGTTCATCTGTTGCCAGCTGCAGGCGGTTCGTTGGTCGCCGGCCGTGGAGGAGCCAAGCTTGAGCCCACGTGGGGTCAATGGAATTAGAATCTAAGTAGAGGAGGCTCTTGTGGCAAGGTCAAGATTTTCCAAAGTATAAATGAGATGTATGGACTTGAGTCCTGCAGTTCGCTGTGGGACTGCTACGTTATGCTACCAGTATGAACGGACCTGTGGGACCTGCGTTGCCAACTCCTCTGAGGCTTGAGCCACACGCGCAAGGGAGACCGCAACGTTCCAACTTCAGGCCGGGAACCTCAGACAAGTGTGATCGTTTTCCAGGGTTCACGGTCGGTGGTGTGATCATGAGGTTCAACATGTTAACCAGTTGCGCTTGTTAGTTGGTTGACCTGCTGTCTTCGCCTCTGGCTAAGCAGGTGTTGAGACCACTAGCGGTTCACTGCCGTGTAAAACCTTCAGCTCCTAGCCGACAGGTAACGCACCCACAGAAATCAGAATCCCAAATCAGCTCCGTTCCATGGGGGGCTAGTCCTGTAGCGTGTAAGTGCATGGTCAATGCAGCCACTGGATGAAAAGGTCAGCCTGATGCCCGAAGGCGGCCCATTTCAAGCGTAGGCAGTGCAACTATGAGATTCGGCAACTACTTGCGCAGCTCACTGCATTGAAACGAATGAAATCATTTGTTTGTCGTTTCCACCATTTCGAATCAACAGCAGCGGATTTACGATTTCCCACCTGACACCAACGGCAATAGACAATGAGAGCATCTTCCCAAGTACTAGGTTGTCTTCCAGCATGAACTCGTCGGGGGTACCATTCCAAAACACGCTACAGCCATCGATCACATGGTAAATTTGCAACGTAAGTGGCTAACTTCCAATCACTTTCCTCAAACGCTTGCTCCGTCCAAGCATGCAGCGAGTTCGCACAGCAGACGTTCCGAACTTTAATCCAACGATGAAGACTCTCATGCCATGGGTCGTTGATCCATTTTGACCCTTCAGCCGTGAGACCAGCGCTGAGCCTTGACATGCGAGGGCAAGATGCAGACGTCACCCGCAGAAGGACTGAAACTGGAAAAACAAAACACCGGCTTGTACGGCTGAACACGAGACTGGAGGGGAATAATGGTAACATGTTGCCCGGTGAAACAGAGGTCGTAGGCAGCTGGCTCAGAGGAGTCGCGGCTTCGTGAGGCAAGAACGAGTACCCACCAACGGGAAATGGTGGCCTTTCGAGGGCCAAGGACAGCCGATTGCAAGCCCAGGTGCAAGCACGCGCCCGACATCAGTGAGCAGCCACGCAGGGGGCTCAGCCACGTGATGCTGGTTGCCACTGTCATAACTTCATAACCCCTTGAGTTCATGTTGTGCAGATCCCTTTGCGTAAGGTGCCGAAGGACATGGATGCAGAGTCCGAGATGACCAGCGAGGTGCCGACGGCGATTCAGCAGAAACATTCTGCCACTTTCAGTACAGGAGGGAGGGAGGGAGAGAGGGAGGAGAGGGAGGGAGAGGGAGGGAGAGGGAGGGAGAGGGAGGAAGAGGGAGGAAGAGGGAAAGAGGGAGGAAGAGGGAAGGAGAGGGAGGGGGGAGGGAGGAAGATAGGGAGGGAGGGAGGGAGGGAGGGAGGGGTTCCTCTATGCGACCAACCCAGTCCTCAGTGACCTTAAGCCAATGCCATTCGGCATCGTAGCATTCATGTTTGCATCGTAAACATTCAGGGGCACGTTGAGCTCGTCTCATTTTTAGCTCGTGTATGTATATTTTTATGTATGTATTTATGTGCCTCGGATGGTGTCCCTCCCAGTCCCAGCTGTTGCCTCAAGCCACCTGAACCCCCAGGCCCAACCATTCCACAACAGGGGAGTGGAACGAAACTCCGACACAGGGGGAATGACCATATCCAGAGACCACAAGGGGGAGGGGGGGGGAAGGTGGGGAAGCACATGTATGTACCTTCTGGGCGATGTCGTCATTATCGCCCCAAGCGATGAAATGCTCGAATATGTCTGGGCTCCATGTCAGGCACCATCCCAAACGTCGTCGCCCACGAACAGGCCTGTGTGTGTTGAACTCGCCAATGCTGCTCGAGGGTAACACCGGGTAACATGGAGGCGGCGCACCCCAAAATCGCGGAGCCAAAGTGGCAGGCTGAAAGGGTGGTGGGTTTCGGAGAAGGTTTTGCACGCTGCCTCTTGTTGAGTTATCTTGACGGCAAAGATTTACAATGAGTGTTTTCATTGTCCTTGAAGTTGGGACACAGCGGGCCGTATGGGGAGCTGCAGAAGCATGCGAGGCGAGTGCCTCCACAGACGAACACGCCCGTGAAGGTCGAGGAAGAGCCGTGCGCGCGGCCTGTTTGTCCCAGGGCTTTCGTTCCTTCGTGCATGGTTCAGTGGCCGTCGTTCCATTCTTCTGGCTGCGGCTTGGGTGTGTTGACAGGGTTCTGGGCTTATGGGTTCGCTTTGGATTCTGAGGGTGTCCAGTCAGGGACGACGAGCCTCCAAGCGCCTTGCAGCCCCTACCGCCTGAGATGCTCAAGGCGAGGGGCTTGCACGAAGCTGTTGCTGCGGCCTGACTGAGCAATGCTCCTGGAATTTTCGCTTTTTCCCATGCTGAATCTGTTTTGCGTGACACATGCGATTGCAGCCCGAGCAGGCGGGGTTTTTGCAAAGCCAGATGCTCGAGCCAGAGATCCTCAGTTTTGGAGCCTGGTGCTCGGCGGATGCCCCATTTAAAGTATCTGTGTTCCCTGTGCCAGGAAGTCCGCTGTGTGCCAGGCTTTGTTGTTCGTTGTGCCCGCTCAGGCGATGTTCCTCGGAGTTTTCCAGGCGGCCCTACAAGTTTGGCCGAACTGTCTTGAAACAAGTGTCCAGCGTAGTTATCGGATTGGCACATTCTTAAGTATAACTGTGCACGATCCGGACAGAGTGTACAACAGCATTGCCAAGGCACTGGTGTCATGAGCTTTTCAGGCACGGAGCAAAGGTTCTCCCGCACGGCCAGAAGGATTTCCCCACGACTGTTACCGGGCTCTGTTGGACAGGCAAACTGCTTTTCCACTGGCGGGATTCCGGAAGCAAACCGGGGGCAAACCTTCCACCTGGAACTTCCACCTGGAACGCGTATTACCCTGCCTCCTCTCTATTTTGCTTCTAGAATACGAATAGTCTTTTTTGAGCCCTAAATAAAGTAGTTTTGATTGATCGTTTAATATGGTCTTTGTTGGATCTTTTAGCATAGTTTTCTGATGCCCCACACCCTTTCAAGACACATGTGAATTTTGCTGGAAGCTTGTTTCGCGAGGTACTTTTCAACAAGTATCACGACTTTCCGACCTCAGCATGTGCGAGCCAGATGAGCATATCTGGATTCTTGAGGCTGGGCGCCGTGCTTGTTTTTGCCGCCGCCGTCCGTTGTTATGCAAGAGGCAGCTCGAATCAGATTCCCCGGAAATTTGTTCAGCGCTCGCAGTCAGTGCCTCCTCTGGTATTCGGATTCAAAAGCTCCGTCGCAGGTTCTGCTTCGACTTTGGATTGTTTCCTTCGGTTGTTGACCTGCAAACCATACAGCCCGAGCCTTACGATGGCGCATGTCCGTTTGGATGCAGGTGGCCAGTGTGACTACTGGTCTGGCCATGAGTCACTCCTGAGAACCTCCCACGATTCATCTTGACACCAGAAAGTATTCCTACTTCGTGAGGCAGCTCTACGCCTTGTGTGCAGCAGAAGGCGAGAAACAGGATAGCATGAAGCAGGACTTGTTGTTGGGAGTAGGTGGGGTCGATTATTGTCCGAAGTTGCCGAATGACATACAGAGTCGGAGAACCATTGACCCTGCCGTAACGATCGCTCGTGGACGGTCGACGTGCATGAGACCCCAATATCTGCCTCATCTGAACACTTGCTTGGACTTTGTGAGAACCCCCGTGGCTTGGCAGGATGCCAAGAGCAGCTCGACAGACCGTGCTGCAAGCCCCGCACCCACGAAGAGCTCGCAGAAAAAACGCATCTCACCGAAGAAGCTCCGTTGGGGCCCCGGCATGTAGTCGAGCTGTTTGTGGAACAGGTGGCCGAGTGTTCAATGTCACGACACACAGAGCTGCAAGAGTTTGCGCCTATTTAATGCCTGTCACCCGCCCTGCGGTCTTCATGCGGCCTTTAAGCCAACATTCCCGAATGCATGCAAATCTGACGTTTGGAGCTTCAACTGTCGGAGCTTTCAAGCCTTGCTGGTTGCAGACATGTGTGTGCGGCATCAGAGAGCACGTGGAAATGTGATTTGGGTTTTGTGTGGGTGTGCACGCGTGCGCGTGTGTGTGTGTTGTGTGTTGTGTGTTGTGTGTTGTGTGTTGTGTGTTGTGTGTTGTGTGCTGTGTGTTGTGTGTTGTGTGTTGTGTGTTGTGTGTTGTGTGTTGTGTGTGTATTGTGTGTGTGTGTGGGGCGTGCTGCGCATGGTGGTTCGCTGCGCTAGAAATTAAACCCCGCCCCGTGATTTGAGGAAAACGCACGCACACCCGCAAGGCAAGCAAGCAGATTCACCAAACCAGATCTTCTGGAACGGGCAGCAGGTCCCCATGCCCCAGCCTCAGCTGAAGCTTGTCCCATGCCAATCTTACACTCGTTTTGTGGTTCTCTCAGCTGTCGGAAGACTTTACCAATCTGCCGGTGCAACTCGAGAGGCAAAGGCTGCAATCCAACAATCCGGGAAGCAGAATCCGGTCAAGACCCAAATTTTTAGAATGCAAAGCCCGTACGCTTCCTCTTTCTGAACCTGCGCGAACCCACTCTTGAGCCGGAGAAGCTCCCCTGGCAAGGCATTTGGGCTGGCTGACGCGCGACTTTGCCCATCACAGCGAGCAGGACCGCGGGTGTCGTCCAGCGACTGCTGCAAAGCGCCACTGCCCGCGCAGCAGCTCCGAGAGCTCAAATCAGGAGTCCAAGTGCGTCTGCATCCTCAGTGCCATCAACGACTGGATGAAGGAGTTCAGCGATGTAGACTTCATGGCTTAAGATACAGATATAGCTCCAAGTGAGCGGACGAGTCACGAAATCATTTCGGTGCTAACAACCATGCAGCTGCCCTGAATAGGGTTCGATGCTTTTGTTTTTTGTGAGTCGCATGATGGAAGGACCGGATGTGGACGCCCGCTGACGTCTTCAATTTTCTGGAGCAACGTTGCTCGCAGCTGTCTACGCCGGGATAAGGGGAAGTGCTGCCGAAGTGTGCCTGCAGGACATCAATGCGAGTGGCTTAATCAGCACGCGCGAGTTCATCGAAGGTCGCATGCTGCTAGATACTGCAGTGGGTGCCATTGCTACAAATGTGTCCCACGCGGTAGTGCAGTTGCCGTTTTCATGCTGCGGCAGGGGCGAAACTCATGCGGTTGAAGAACTTGCCCAGCGACGAGGAACTTCGCAGGCCGCTGCACGAACAGTGGCGCGTGTTCCTTGCATTCCGACAGTTCAATGTGTGAAATGTGTCACAGCCAATCATCAGGCCGTTGGGAGCGAAAGATCGAAAGAATGATTTTTGAAGCTGAAGTTCCCTTGCCATCTCTTAGCCTACGCCCCAAGCTATAGATTCTGGGGGCAGGTTGCTGCCGCTTCTCATGTCGGCCGACAAGGGCCTGATAGCTCCGCGGGAACTGCATCAGGCATGAGCTGCACAGCGAGACCATTCCGAGCGAGTGTGGGGTACAGCAAGTCGTCGAAGCCTTCTGTGTCACCTCTCACCTCGAAGTTGCAAACTGGAGGCTTTGGCGGTCATCGCGAAGCAGAAGCACAAGTTGGACCTTGCCTCGATCCCAGCTTCACAGCAGACATCGGGTCATCTTCGCCATTAGTGGAGTATGGGGTGTGGCAGCAGTGCTGGTGCCGTTGGTGGCAGTTGTGTTAGTCGTCGTCGCAGCGCCAGTTCCATCCTCTGTCGTATCGCTTTTTCTTAAGTGCATGTAAAACAACATCGCACCAGTATCTAGCAGTGCTAAAAGCTAGATGCTGTTGCAGATGGGAGGTTGTACGTCTGAACATTCCTAGCAACAACTTTCGCAACCTGAGATGGTGTCAGCACGGTCAGGCGCATAGCTGGCCAGGTCGAAACGTAAAGGTGGCAGTGCCAGCAGAATACGATGTGACTTTGCACGTCTGTGATGTGGTCTGCGCAGGATGACAAATCATGAGTGGTATAGGTATGGTAGTGCTTGACTGAGTATTTGGCACTGACCAGCATGTGCTACAGAACAAAGAGCAGACACGCGAGGCAGCCAACTTTTTCCTCAAGTCCGAGCCGGACATGTCCATGGCAGAGTGGAACGCCAGCCACTTCTTCCGGGACCTGGTCAAGGCCTGGGAGGGGAAGTCCCTACCGATGTGCTTCTTGATCTTTCAAGTGGGGGTATGTCGGCAGGTGATGGAGAAGAATTCTTGGTCGCCAGGGCGTCTCTTTGCTGAGCTTGGAGGTGGCAAGGACCTCTTGTCCCGATTATTTCGTCTCACTGGACTGTCTTTTGAAAAGTCACCTGCAGCGGTGGTTCGCGGCTCGCCGCACGACACATCTCCGATTGCTACCAGAAAATGCAGGAAGCCATCACCAAGCAAGAGCTCGAGGAGAAGGTGATCCTTCACTTTTCTTCCCCTGCCCGCGCCAGATTCCAACATGCATGTCCTGCTAAAGACATTAAGCCAAGTTCGCTTTGCGCTGCACGTGCTCGGCTAGCCAGTTTTGTCTGTCTTTGGTCGTGATGCCAGGCGCGCGTCTTGCTTCGAGTGCACTGTGGCCGCAGCCCGGCCCTGGAAGTCGCCCAGCCCTTCGACATCCTCGATGTGAACGGGGACGGGGGACTTGCATGCAGGGTATACGGTAAGGCGAGGAACGTCCGTTCTAGCACAGTGCGGCAGTCAGCGGGAGCCAAAGGTTTTCACCAAGCTTGATAACGGTCTCAAGCGTCATTTATTCCGTGGCAACAACCGCGAAACATCACCACGTTGGGCATCACATCTGCAAGCTTGTGCTTTGGCGCGGGAACTGGGAGGGGCGAGGGGCGAGAAGCGGCGGTAGTGCACGACGCCTTGCTGCAGAAAAGGATCTCTGGTTGGCGGCATCGTCCGATTTTGTAAGTTGGCGCCCAGATGACCCTAAGTCAATGCAGGTGAAAGTACTGGTATGTGGTTTTCGGCGTTTCTTTCTCGAGCCACCAGGTTTGTTTGCACAGTTTCCTCAAATGGACTCGAATGCAGATTCTCTTCAACGCTCGATTGCCATCTCGAGAGCCGTGACACGAGCTCTCGCAAATGCACGCCCCACTACTGATTTCAGCAGCAAGATGGCTTGAGCGTAGTGCTGCGAACAGCAAACGCGGGACACCTCACAGACTGACGGTGTTTACGGTGCCAAAGTTCCGAATCCATGCTGTTGGACAAGAACAGAAGGCACAAGCGATGCTTGTATGCATAAGAGCGACCCGAGTGTTACCACCTTGTGACGAGTTTCCTCCTTGGTATGATTGAATCTGAGTTGTTTTTATGTTTCGGTAAAGCAGATGTTAAATGGTTTCCGGAAGTGGTGCAGCGACAGGTAGGCAATGGAAAAGCACGGAGACCCACGCGTGAAACAAGACTAAGTACTCCGCAGGTAGTCTCCGCGATATCGTGTTCCCCAATAAATACTTAAACTCGAATTGACGGTCCTTTGCATTCTGCCGCTTTCCCCAGCCATTCCTTACATCTGTACATTGCACAGCTGTATTTGGACGGGGGTGTTGTCTCAATGATACCCCACTTATTCTTCAGGCTTCCTCTGCCTCTTGCGGTGCTAGTCATCTCAGGGCAAACAGAACTTCTAGAGCAGTCAGGAATGTCTTGAACAGCAGCGGCAAGACGACGAAAGGCTTTATCGACTCTTGTGTGAGTGGTACCCAGGAGCTATATTCAACTCCGTTGGAAACTCCAAGATTGAGTTGTTGCGTCTTGACACTTGCCGGAACTGCTGGTACCTTTTCGTAGCTGATCCGAGGTTTCCCAGGCTACGTAAGTAATAGCGTCGCAGTGGGCATCTTTGTGGACAAACACCGGCATTGACGAAGAGTGCCCTTTGTGTTTTTCTTATCAAGAATCGCTGACCCCTTTGCTCTGTGATGTTTTTTTTGTAGCAGCTGGACTATACTCGGTTGATCAGCAAGTCCGAACCCCTCATGATGCAGAGTGCCAGGAGTCCTAGGACTGTGTACTTCAGGCAGCTATGCGCTAAAGGACTTGGTGGTCTGGTGGCTGAATGCATCAGTGTGAGCATGGAAAAGGTAAGGTAGTCAAAGGTGATTGTCATAATTAGTTCTTACCGTTTCACTCTTCGTATGCCTTCGGCAGGATGGGGTCATTGAGAGGGAGGAATTCGTTGCCATCATTGTGCAATTGCTCAAGGCCGAGTTGCAACCTCGTCAGCTAGGAAGGGTCATGTCGGAAACAGGCCAGCGGTTCCGGCTCCGGTTTGGAGGAAACGTCTGGGAAGACGTCCCGGTGCAAGAGAGGGATGATGCTGTTGCAAAGTCGTGTTCGTTCTGTTGTTGCGTTGACGAACAAGGGTGGCAGCGGTGATCGTAGCAGAAGTGTTTCTTGCCAGGCCTTGGCCATGCCTGTGACTCAGAATTGGAGTGACGGTGTGCCCTTCACAGCATGCCTAATGCATAGGTGTCGTGGCTGTGCACGGAGAGCGCCCTTTGGGGTTCACGGGCCGATCTCCTGTGTGACCTCATTATTGGAAACATCAGACTTTATCTCTCAACTTGAATGCACAAGTCATGCAACTTGCCCTATCAATGCCAGCACATGAACCGAAGTAGTGCGCTCACGGGAGGAATGCATGTCTTTTTCTTGGCATGGGCTGAACTCCGGTCTTCCCCATTTCAGAAACCAAGGCAGGGCAAGGAGGACTCCGGCCGGCGCCGACGGCAGCTGCAGGCCACGCAACATGTGCAGCCTTCCAAAGTCAAGTCTTAAGCGTCAAGCTTCAGAGTTGGAACCCTGCCCGGCAGTCCCGCTTTTTCTAGAAAGGATCCCGGGATTCTTGTGGGTTTCGGCTTCCATCTGCCGATTCACAGAACATGCCAAGTGGGGAACTGCGGCCTGGAAGAGCTATCAACCTACTGTACATCCGAGCATGGCTTGTGTTTGAACGCTGTTCGTGCAAAGGCCCCCGTGGCTCAAGGCGTAGTGACCCAACGTGTGGCAGTCTGGAGAGATCTCTCCATGCCATGGCTGGAGTTGCCGGCTACTTGTCAAGATCTCGTTCGGTGCCACAGAGGACTCGGTAATTACATTAAAGACAAGCCCGAGGCCTCATGTCACAGCCAGCAATCAAGTGCAGATTAGCTCTCGCAGTTCGTGTTTTGATTGGAGACCGGAAGCGCTACCTCACGCAACGGGTATCCTCCCCCTCTAGCTCGTTATGCTTGCAGTATGTCGTCTGGATAAAGCTGTGGCGTTTGAGTAGAGAGCAGAGAGCGAGGCGAGCAAACCTGACCATTGCTCTGGGGCCCTAACACTTTCATGTTTATCTCACCCTCGAACTGTGATCTCTTCAGTAGACGTCCATGCCAAACTAGCATCTAAGGAGGGCACTCAGACATCCTTGCGCGGAGCTCTTCCGAGTGCGCGTTCCGTTCAGTGGCAAGCAGCGGCAGCAGTGTCGGGATGCCCAAGGCTCATTCAGGGTGTTGGCTGGCAAAAGGATGATGGTTCCCTGTCAGGTTGCTGCGACACCGCTTCAAAGTTCCCGGTAGTGAGGTTTGGAGGTCAGGCATCCTGGGCACGTCGTCCCAAGTCTCCATACCGGCAGGCTTTGCCAACGAAAAGCAGGGCAAGCACCGAATTGGAAAGACAGGCGCCTCGGCGTCTCTTGCGGTAGCTGGATTCGATGTGTACTCGTAGATACGTGGGAAGCCCTGCTTTCATGCATTCTCAGGGGCCCTGGGCACCAATCGTCACATGAGTCGCGAGTCGTTTTGACTGGCCAGTCTCTGCAGTCGCTGTCGGATTTGCATTGGATCGAGGTGGAGGAAGCCTTCGAGGAGATACTTGAGTCGGTGCAGCAGCGTCAAGCCGAAAGTCAGGACTCTGTACGAAGTCTGTTGCAGCTTGTCTCCGGTCTTTGAGCATGTTACAGGGCCGGCGCTTGTTCCATGCCTTTTACAGAGCACCGTACAGTGACGACTTTGCCATGTCCTACTGCTGAAGTCAGGCTTGCGTTGCTACACGGACAAGTTCGGGATCGAGTAGCACGGGCTCGAGAGATGCAGACGTTGCAGGATCATTTATCAAAAAGGTCTGGCTGTGGGAATGCATTCAACTCAGACAGGTTCATCCCGGAAAACACCGATGAGGGATTCAAGTTGGGCCAGCATGCACAACCGCAAGCTCTTGCACAGTGCTGCCTCCGGCATGCCACAGCTACAACCCCGTACCCGCACGCAGTCTGTGGAAGGTGCCTTCCGTGACACGTCCGAGGGCTCAATCGAATCGGTGGAGCCGAAGGCTAAAAGATCATGGGGTACCGGACACCCGGTGAATACACAGATTGTGCCGGAAGCTGACTGCTCGGCGGATTTGCCGTACAAGCGCCTCTCCAGACGGCGTTCTTTCTGTCGTGAAGCGGCACTCGATGAGGGCGTGCAGTTCTCCTGCTTTGTGGGCAAGATGCTCAGCAAGCTTCCCGAAGAACAAGTCGAGGAACCCGTCGTGGAGCCCACAATTCCTCGATTATTCCAGTTCTCGCAATGGATGCTGCTGGGCCTGTTGAAGGCTTGTGGCATTTCTGCTTTTGGTTCATCGGAAGAACAGCCCAGAATCTTCATCAAGGCTTACCACTGTCTTCTTATACTCATGTTTATTGCGGCTGTGGCCTTCGCCGCTGTTGAGCTTGTCTCCTGCCGGCTGCAGTCGGATCTGATATTAAGCCCGGGCTTTTGCTTTGACGATTCGGGCCCAGCTACCGACTTGGCAGTGTTCTCGGGGGCTTTGGGAGTCTTGATTTACTCGGGTGGCTGGTGTTATTCTGCCAGAAGAGCGACTCGGCACAGAATACTGCAGTATATACCTGCTTGTTTGGAAGAAGGGTTCTCGTTCAGGGTTTGGCTCGAGGAGATCATGCCTTTGACTTGGACCGGTGGCTGCAAGCCTTTGCAACAGTCACCTGTCTTCCAGTGTTGTTGTCTGCCACTTGCTGGTTCAGTCCTGTAAACTTTGAAATTTGTTACCCATTGTTACCCAGACCGTGCGCATGCTGGTTTGTGCTAGTTGAGTGTCTTATGTGGTTTGCGGCGTTTGTTTGTTTGTTTGTTTGTGATTGTGTCTCTGTGAAGGACGGATTCGCATGCGGCTAAGACCTCAAAGATTGCACAAACATAGGAATGGAGGCTTTTGCCTATCGACGAGCGAGCCCACAGCTGAGAGAAAATTGCTACTGTAGGCGTGTTGAGGTCCCGAGTCGTTTCGCTCAGTAGAGAAGCGCGAAGTCTTGAACATGTTTCACATTTTGGCAGTTTCAAAGATCATGGCACGCCGTATCTGCAAAACTTGACTTCGCTTGATTTCGAGCTTTCAGTTTTCATTGAACATCTTTGGGAAGAAGGCGGTCCCAAGAGCTGGGCAAGCAACGTGCCTCGTGGACGACCATAGGGCTCGCATTCCGGCTCAGGCCCGTCGTCACTTACATGTTGGCTCAACTGCCTGCTCGGTTTCCACATCTGCTCGTTCAGGCGAGCCTGTTGCAGTGAGTTCAACTTCATTCCAGGCAAATCACTTGGTCACTCCTGTTGATTGCGTCTTCGTTCAGGGTTTGGCTCGAGGAGATCATGCCTTTGACTTGGACCGGTGGCTGCAAGCCTTTGCAACAGTCACCTGTCTTCCAGTGTTGACATGTTGGCTCAACTGCCTGCTCGGTTTCCACATCTGCTCGTTCAGGCGAGCCCGTTGCAGTGAGTTCAACTTCATTCCAGGCAAATCACTTGGTCACTCCTGTTGATTGCGTCTGGTCAGCGCCTGTTGTGGGCACTGCCGTTGTCAATGTTGTGGGCGTGCCCCGGGAGACTAGTTGTCGACGGCACCGCCATGCGCGCGGCGTAGGCTTCTTCATAAGTCTTAGTCCTAATCTTGTCACTCCTTTTCGGTGGTATTCCTTGTGATTGGAGGTGCCACTACGAATGTCAGAATTCCAACAATCTTCCAGCTGTGAGTTTCAAGGGATGGTGAGACTCTGTCGAAAACGGCTTGCATCTACATTGGTCACGCTCCCGCCTTCCAAAATGAAGCATCTTCGCGTCCGTGCCTCTCGTGCAAAACATTCGACTCGCTTCCCTCCCCTGCCTGCCTGCTCAACTGCTGTCTTCGCTCATTTCCACTCTCGTGTTGAGCCGCCTATACCTATGCAACTTAAATGCGGTTTGGGCATGAGTTGTGTATTGACCCAGGGGAGGGCATGCCAGGGTGGCTGGAGTTCTGGGTCATGCCTGTTCCATTCAGCGGATGGTCGGAGGGGCGGCCGTTTGCTTCCGCGCATGCTGCTTTCTGGGCCATTTCTATCGGACAGGTATGCCAGAATCGGTCGCAACAGTGAGCAACGGATCTTCAATCATGCAATTGTGTCGTTTGGACTCAGGTTTGATGCCTGTCTCACAAATTTACCAATTCGGCCACTGCATTTGCAGAGTGCCTGTCCAGCTGAGGCGATGCTGCGAGAGACCACAGAGATTCTGGCAGTGCTGATGCAGGACCAAGGCTTGGCTTCAGCATGGGCGAGAACAACCGGCCGCGACGCAACCGTCGCCGTGGTGATCTGGCATTTCACCTGCATACAAGCATGTTTGCCTAATTTTTGTTACAGCCTACCTGTGTGAGCGGAGTGATGTTTTGGTGCTCCAGGCTCGCCCTTGCGTTGTCACGCATAGTCCGGACTGCCCTGCTGGACAGAAGGACCTGCGCTTCCATCCTCTCATCGGTCTGCTTTGTTGCATCAAGTGCTGTGCTCGCGTCTTCTGGTTTCCTTCAGATGTTAACATGGCGTGGATTGGGTATAAAGATTCAATCCTTCATCCAGCCCTTTCTGAACGAGGAGATCAATTGTCAGGCAGTCAAGACTCGTTGGAGGGTGATGGGCTCCTGCATGCATCAGGCCTCCAAAACGTTTCAGGTTGTCAGTACAGTTATGGGCATGACAACAGTTATAGGTTCGCTTGCATTCTTATATGACCTGCAGCAAAGCCTGTTGCTTGCGTCGCTGCCCGGCTTTCTGCTGTGCCTGTTGATGCCGGCTTTCCTGCTACCAGCAGCATTCACTGGGGTCTCTTGCTCAAGTCTGCCGTCGATGATCAGCATGCTGGACCCTGGCGAAGGCGACAAAGATTTTCAGGATTTGGCGGTCTTCCTCGGTCTGACCAACTGTGGGTGCTTTCTGTGGGATACGAAAGTCACCGTCGGGCTGCTCCAAAAAGTGGTGTACATGACAGTTGGTTTCGTTGGTACGATCGCACTAAGAGGAGGTATGATTCCTCTTTAAGATGTGATGAAGTTTTGAATTTAATCTTGTGTGGCTCGCGCCGGTGTTCTGCTTGCCTATGCTGTTGGCTTCGATGCCCAGCCCGAAATTAAATGCGGAGTTTTAGCCAGATGATCTTGAAGGTGGTTTAATAAATTAGAAAAATAGCTCCCGAAGAGACTCGAATGTTGGGCTTGGGCGGGACCGACTACGCAGCTGTCGAGCTCCAGGCCGCCAAAGCACATTGGGTAACAAGTGTACTTTGTGATTTTCCCTGCGTGGCTTGAGTTGTTTTGCAGATAGTCCCGCGAGGTTGGCCGGCGGTTTTTTTTCGGCCTCTAATCATTCAGCGTGCCGGGGTTGAGAAACCCGTCCGAGTTTGAACACCAACCTAGGTGAGATAGAGATCTTGTAAAGATCTTCATAACGGCCATGTCCGAAAGCAAGTCATGGCTGCTCGCGAGAGAACACCCTACGTTGCGGGAGTGCAGAGCACTGCCCCGCTTTCTCTTGTCTTTACGAACCCCGACAAGACCTGCCTCAGCAGAAAGGGCTCCGAAAGTAAACTTTGTGCGCAAAGGTGGGTATGCTGCTTGGGCGCATCCACTCACTTACAGCCTGAGGCGGCGACTGTAGCCCTGGCTGGTCGCTTCCCTATTGCTGATGGCCTGGCAGCCGTACGACGTGCAGAGGTGGCTTTACCAATCATGTCTTTATGCCCTCGACAAACCAATGCATCTCATCGGATCCACATAAGTTCAACAATCCTGGAAAAGGCTTTGCTCGGAGTCCATGTAATGCTTGTGCTGCATGTCCCTGCCTCCCCCCCTCCTTCTCCCTCCCTATATCCTCCCTTCCCCCTCCACCCCTCCCCCGCTCCATCCCTCCCCCCGCTCCCTTCCTCCCCCTCTCCCCCTCCCGCTTCCTCCCTCCTTTGGTACTTCACACTTTGGCAATAAGTTGGGCAGAAGTGTTTCATCCACGCTCAAAATCACCTCTGCCACGAGGCTTTCGTGTCCGGGCGAGCGAAATCAGTGCACAAAGCGCCCTCGCTTTGTGAACCCGAGTTGCGCAGCGGCATGTGCTTTTTGAAAAGTCTCTGCTGTCGACGCTCATCGGACGTACATGTTCCTTGAGAAGCGAGGGTTTTGTGTTTCGCAAGAACAATGTGGAGGGCACTGTGGTGAGTTCGATTTCGCGATCAATGAACTACTGCTGGCGGGGATTGTGTTTTCGCACGACGAGAGAAACAAATTGGAAAGCCGGAACTCTCCCGAACTCTAGAAGCGCGGGCAAAAATACAGAGTTTTCCACGTTTTCCGGCGTTGCACACAGAACTTTGCATGCGCCGAATCGCCAGGGTCACAATCACCAGCTTTAGCTGGCAAATGATTGCGGGTACAGTCGGACCTTATAGCTGGGCCCAAGGGCGTGTCTCCTTGCCCCGCAGATGGCAACTAATGTTCTACTTCAAAGTCAAAGAGAATTCTCGAAGCGTGTCAGCATGTGTTTGTGCGAACAATTGTGTCGCATGTCGAGCCTTTGCCCGTTTATGCCAGATTGTCGATGCATCCATCCATTAAGTCGCATTAATCTGATCGAGTTCTTGTGTCAGTTCATGGTTCTGTTTGCCGTAACTACGGGGGCTTCCCCGTCGCTATTGCGGCGTTTTGCTTTTAGTATGATGTACTTGTGCCGGTGTACAGTTTTTTCGATGATGCGCTGCTGGTACATCTTGCGTGGTGTTTTTCATGCTGACAGATGTTCTTCTCCATAGAACCTGATTGGTGGGCAGGCAACAGCTGCGGCCCAGAACACAAAGACGGTGGAGTTGCCAACGCCTCGGATTCGCTTCAATCCAGCCCGGCATTCTCGAAGCCACCCGTCAGGTTCGGACTGCATCAGTTCATTGAGTGCCTGCTCTTGATGGCTTTCGAGGCCGTGCGCTGCGTTGCCGCGGTGTCTTAGTTCCGGGCGTGCCGTTCTAGTATTACATTAGAAAGGGCTTATGCCAGAAGCTATAAGCCTAGCACTGCATGTTCCACTTCTCGCTCAGTTCGTCTGTGGTTCGTGAGGTCATCGGGGTCCGGGGCACCTCCACGCAAGCACAGCAGCCGACCATCACCAAGGCCGAAGGGGTCACATGGCATGTCATGGCCAGTAGAAAACTTTGCCATGTTTGGCTCGTTTCTCGGACCGCAGTCGCAGCGAGAATCTCGAACTCTTAAATTTGAAGTCGTGGGTTTGGCTGGATTTGCTGCTGTCACAATAGTCTTCACACGAAGTTTCCGTAGCCTCTAGTTTACCTGCGAGGCCGTGTGGCTTTTGCTTTATTTGCGCTGGCAGTACGAGCTGAAGCTGAAGCAGGCTGACTCTGCTTGGCCCGCCCTGGCCCAGTGCGTGAGAGACCAAGGCAAACGAGAAAAAGGAGCAAGAAAGTGCCGCCTGCCAAGAGTGGATCTCGAGTGCAGCCTTTTCAGGAAGAGTGCTCTTGGCATCTCTTGGCTGTTTTGAAGTAACGCCTGGGTATCCTGGCAAGGCATGGGCCGAGAAGCTGGGAGTCTCTCCTGACACAGCTGCTTGGCACGTTTGGCAGCCATGTGTGATAGAATTGTCGATGCAACAAGGGATGGACAGCGGGCGTCTGGCGTTGACTTGCGGGGCTTGCTGTTCGGGCGCCGTCCAACGTAAAGGAGCACACAGCCGGCACAGGTGTACAGTATATACATGAAAGAATCAGAAATCGGCAGGTTCGCGGTTTCCTTGTGCCGTTTCAGCTACTTCAACTGCTTCGTGTCTTGGTGGTCAGCCTGCCGGGAAGGCGTTGCACGTTAAGTTTTGGCAATCTCCAGCTGGAGAGATGCCGACTTTCGACTTCTTTGTTTCTTTTGCATGAATATTTCGGCAAGTCATGCCTCCACTGGTGAAAGGTCTGGTGCCGATTGTGATCTGTAAAACCACGCGGACGGGGACACACAAACAAACAAACAAATAAACAAACAAACAAACAAACAACCCAACCCAACCCAACGCAACGCAACGCAACGCAACGCAACACAACACAACACAACACAACACAAAACAAACAAATAAACACACAAACAAACAAGCAAACAAACAAAACAACACAAAACAAAGCAAAGCAAATCAAATCGAATAAAATCAAATCAAAACAAAACAAGACAAGACAAGATAAGACAAGACAAGACAACACAAAACAAAACAAAACAAAACACACAAACCAAACAAACAAACAAACAAACAAGCAAACCAACAAACAGCAAACAAGCACACCCACACACACACACACACGCACACCCAGAGACACACACACACACAGAGACACCCACCCACGCACAGACACACACACACTCACTCTCACTCACACTCACAAGCTCCCTCCTCCTCCATCCCGTCCCCTCAGTTCAGTGCGCATGTCGTAATTGGTTGTCTCAACAGGCGTGAAGTACTGTGTTTCCCGAATCCGCAGCAGCAAATCCGCCCAGGCACTATCATGTTTCATGCTAGCTGTGTGGAATTGCTTCAGCATGTAAGAGAATCACGCGTGCACGGGCACACGCACACACATATACGGGGATACATGTCTATGTCTATATATGTATATAGACATATACACACATACATGAAAAGTAAACGAATAAACACAAAAAAACATAAATAGGTAGATAAGTGAGTAACCAGAAAAAAGGAACAATAAAATTCAAAGCTGATAAGCAAACAAAATCATCAAAATCAAACAAATGAGCAAACACATAAACACAAGAAGTAACAATAAATAAGCAACTAGAACGGAACGAATGTATTTGTACGTATACCTTTATCTATATCTATGTCTATATCTATACCTATACCTATATCTGTATCCATATCTATAGCTTTATATATATATATATACATATCTATTTATTAATGAATATATTCATGCATTTATTTGTAGTTATATCTGTATATCTATCTATCTACTTATCTACCTATCTACCTATCTACCTATCTACCTATCTACCTATCTACCTATCTATCTATCTATCTATCTATCTATCGATCTATCCATCTATCCATCAATCTATCGATCTATCTATCTATCTATCTATCTATCTATCTATCTATACATATGTGCTTGCGTGCTGGTATGCCCGCTAGATGGTGTAGTTGTAGGACGCACAGGCAAGCTTGACACACGCGTTAGAGAAGCCAGACGCTTCAAGGTCCTTGACGTGCTTGATGAGAGGCCCGGCCTGGTCGGCAAGTCTCCGTAGGCTCAGACCGTGCCGTGCGAGCATTGATTGAAGAAACCTCGGGGTCTTTATGGGTCTTTCCTTCTGTGGCTAGGTCCTGTCACTACAAGGATCCACTTCATCAACTCTTTGAGGACTGGGATTTGGCTTTGGCGCTCCTGAATGGGTGTTTGCCGCAACTTCCCGGTGTTTTGATGTGCTGTGTGGACAGAAGGAACATATGCTGAGTCTAATGGGACAGAAAAGCATAACATCATAATTTATGAATCATAATGTATGGTCTCCGTGGCGATGTCGAGCCTGGCTGGGAATTCTAGAGCCTGACAGTACATTAGAGTTGTGCTAAGCCTTACTCTGACCCCAACTACCTGCCTTCTCAAGGAGGAAGGAAACCAAAATGAGCTCAGCCCCAACTAGCCTAATTGCCTTGTCAGGGTTTATCCGGATTAGGGTTTAGGGTTTAGGTACTTCACTTTCCGGCAAACAAACACACACCTGAAGACAAATGGACTGTGGTATCGGCAACGAAAACAATCTTTCAAGCATCACTTTGAACCTGCGAAACTACAGCACATGCACATGCTCTTACGATTCTCTGTCCCAGTGCATCGATATCTTTATTTCTGTCTTATCTACTTCAGGCCTGCCCGTGGGGGACCGGATTTCGGTCCGCGAGTTTGCGAGCATAACAGCGACCTGCCCGGCCTTGCTGGTTTCGGTTGGCAGTTCCCGTGCCGGTGGTGTTCCTGTTACGCCGGCCGACGCGTTTGTGTTGCCACGGCCGCGGGTTTCGGTTACAACGTGCGGGAACGGTTTCCGTTGCTCCCAAAAGAGGTTCCCGTTACTCCTCGCACCTGCTCCTGAATACGAGGGTGACATAGACTGCCTCTTGCAAGGAGGTTCCTGAGCTCTTCAAAGACGCGCCATGTCCCAAGCAGGTCGTGGAGGCCCCCACCTGCCTTCTCGAAGACATGTATTGTTTTGTGCGTGCCCCCGGAAAATGCCAAACATGTCAGCAAGCACATGGTGGGTTTCGAGTTCTAGATTCTGTCGGCAGCTATGAGATGCTGCGAGAGCGTGCGTAAAACAGTGCACTTGATGGAGTAGCTCACCCGGAAAAGAACCCTATGCGAAGGCAGACATGGCAGAGCCGCAGGCCGCGGGCACCTCTTCTGACCGGCTGTTCTCTGTGTCCAGTGATCTGGCAATGGTGCCATGCCTTCCTTCAGCCTGCATCCTTCTTGGTTCTTCTGCAGCGAAACTGCTCGGGCACAGTGGAGGTCAGTGGGCCTTGTCACGGATGCGGCCGCCATCGGCACAGCGGCCTCCCAGCTTGAAACAGCTCAGTGAGTCGGCACACAACTTTGAACCTGGAGCTTTGGATAGTTTTGGTGTCTGGGACTCTGGCCGATCTCGGGCTGGTGTACAGAGTGAGCTGCCAGACCCAGCCAAATAAAAGTTCAGTGTGCGGCAGAACAGCACAAGCAAACATGCGCGGAAATTCCAGTATAGAACGCTTTCTGTTGCGGCCGCCTCGACTGGAGAAAACGCAGTGATGTATATTGACCTCAGCAACAACTCGTGTAACACCATGGCCGCATAACTCCCTCAGCCTGTTTTCTCAAGCCATACACACATATGTACAGACATACACACACATATATATATATAATACACACACCTATGTACATCATACAAACAAACAAAGACAGACAGACATACATGCATGCCTACATGTTTGATAGATGGATGTATGGTTGGACGGAATTTTGCTTCCAGCCCGCGCGAGGTTGGGGCACACTGGTTTGCCCAGAGTGCTCGGACAGCGGGGACGTGCTGGAGGCGCATCTGGATCCTCGGATTGGCATCGGGTTCAGGTGTCCAGATAAATAATACATACGTACATGCATACATACATACATACATACATACATCAATCAGACTTGCGTTGTGGAGGGTGGGAAGCGCACGTTTACTTGGGCCTTGATGTTGATTTCTGCCAATACAATTTCAATACAACAGCTGAATCATGCGATCTCTCGTCAAGGACCAGCAGCAGGGCTTCCCAAAACAGACGGAATGGATCAGGATGATTAGGAGCGACTGGAGTGTCCGAGCGCAATACCAAGGGTGAAGGAGCGGAGTTCCAGGATCGAGGGTCATGCTTCACCAGAGCAGGAAGAGCATGAGACTGATGTGACGGGGGGCGAAAGACCGAATGCTGCTGCATACCGTGAAACTTAGCCGCAGTCTCATCGGCAAAGCGAGGAGATGTTGCCCAAGCCATAACTGCAACCGGAGTCTGAGCACAGCATTTGGTTCCAGTGTTCTTCGCAGAGACCGCCTTGTTGACTTATAGCTGGTTGGCTTCGAGCATGAGTTGTGTAGTTCACGGGTGCCGTTCTTCCAGGAGCGGGCGGGGAGGTGCACACGAAACGGTGGCCGCGGCCACATGTGGCCGCCGCGGTGGTATCAGAAAGTTGACCAGCAAAGCGCAAACAGGGTGGGCGGAGGTGGTTCTGCATGGCCCTACTGTAAAACCGGAGTACAGCATTTCACAGGCTCCACTTGCTCCACTTCACTACCTTTTGTGCCATGAGCTGCTGGCTTTTGCCCAAACACCAGACGCTTCCAAGCTGGCACAGGCTGACAATGGTTTCTGAACAACCATGCTTTGCAGCACTGCGCCACTTTTTTCTGGTTGATGCCAATCAAAGAAGTCCCGCCTTGGCAGGCATTTTGGCAGAAAGCTCAGGCAGGTTTCTGGGCAAAATAGCATTCCACTCGCGGGTAAAGCTCCGTTTCCGCAGCCTCATCCCGATGCAAATGGCCTGCTCAAGGCGGAAGATCCTTCCGGAAAGCGGATGAACCTGATCCAGATGCTACCTCAAGTGACTGGAGCTCGGCTGAGGGAGAGAAGCCGGAATTAGGGGCTCCTCTGTGACTTCGTAGGCAGGCTCTCTCGCTCTCTCTTTCTCTCTCTTTCTCTCTCTGTCTCTCTCTGTCTCTCCTTCTTTCCCTGTCGCTCTCTCTCTCTCTCTCTCTCTCTCTCTCTCTCTTAGCTTTACTGTCAGTCTGTACATCTTTTCGGTTGCCTCTTCTCTTCTCTGTATCTCTATGTCACTGTCTCTTCAGCGGGGTGCTGATCTTTGTCCTGATGCTTCCACTCTGCAATCGTGCTTCGACCGAGCGGTTGTCCAACATGTTCAGGTTCAAGGCACCTGTTGGCCGGATTCAAGCAGAAGGGGAGGTTCTGACTTGATGGCTAGCTGCAGCCTTCGCATTCGTAGACCGTGCTTACCAAGTGTTTGGGTGGCATGCGGCCTTGGACATTCGTGAGCAAAGCTGGGTTCTGCAGATTTTTTAAATTAATTGTCTGCCCGCAGAGGCATCTAAAGTGAAACGGCCGTTTAAGTACCCAAGCTCTTTTAGAGATGTCTTGGGTGAAATGGTTTCACGATGGGCTCATGAGTCTTTAAGCCCGCAAAGTACTACGCTGCCACATCGCAAAGTCACTCTCGTGCATCCGACTAGTTCAAGAAATCGATGCGTGGTAGTCAGACTCGATGCGCCCACAGTCTTGTGCTGTCTCCCTGTAGAGAAGGCCCCGGGGACTACCAACAGAAGCAGAGCTGCACAGACATTGACTTTGATGATCACTCGTAGCTTTTCCGGATCCACTTCTCTGACGACCCGGCAGCCCGACGTGTGGTTGCGGCAGGGGACTGTGTGGCACGTCCTTCTGACAGGTTCCGAGACATATCTTCGATCGGCCGAGCCGAGCTCCGATGAGGAGATTGCAAGTGCATGCCCCTAGGGAGAGAAAAAGTGAAGTTTCAGGCTACTGCATGGCAAGCGCGGTGTATCTGGCCTTGCTGCGACGGTGCACGGATGTACGTACATACATATGTATGTAGGCTGTGTATATAGGGACAAGCTGTCACCTCTAGAAACGAGTGCAGGTGCCCGCAGCGTTTGCTCAATGGTTCGATGTCATGACGGGGACAAGAGATGCTTGAAGTCGTAAGGCCCAGGAATGCTTAGCCTTCACTCTGTGGATAGTGTCTATCGGCGCTATGGGCAGCTCTCACTCACAGGTTCTCGCAAACCTGCAAAGCTTAGTGCCTGGGACCGTGGGCAGAACACAACCCTGCGGCGCAGCCCACTGCGACACGCACATCGCCGATCGCTGTTTGCTGGTTTTTGTGCCATGGCTCGGGCTTGGGCCGAGGATCCTCGCAGCTTTCCGGCTCGGGACTTCGAGGCACCGGGAGCTCGAGGGCCAGAGGCGTGGCTCTGAGAGTCAGAGATGAGATTTTCTTGCGAGGCGCCATGGAACTGAGAAGACTTCATGGCTGAGGTCGGAGGGCAGTTCTCTGAGAGATGTAGCATCTCTGAAGTGCAGCTTAACTGTGTCAGGCAGTTGTGTTTCGAAGGGCGGCACGGTGCGCATGTGCAATGCTGCAGTGCTGCAGTGACACGGGTTGGGTGTAAGTTGCAGCTGCGAGCCCCGCCTCAGGGAGAGTCATGCAGATGCAGTGAAGGTTGAGAAGTCGGTTGAAAGCGACCGAAGCACCGTAGTCGGATGGACTCGCTTGCATTGGAAGTCAATGCCCATCGTTCAACTCTCGAGGGCGCAGCCGGCTGGGAGACATTCCGGGATGAGAGCTTCGAGCCTCGGGTGGCACTGATTGTTCCATGCTTGGGAGTGTGTTTCCTGCAGTTACACGCCGCCAAAGATACCGTAGGGCACTACGGATAGCAGCGCGAGTAGCAAAGGGGAAGGCTTGCTGCCTCAACCTGCTCGTGAGCTTCTGACGCTTCTTCCGACTGTACGTGTGAGCTAATGCGGGGAAGTTCGGAAACAAGTGGGGAAAACCGAAGGTTCCGAGATAGAGGGGCCGAAATCTCCGTCTTCGCTGTCGAAATCGGACTAGCGACCTGAACCTTTTCGGACGACATGTTCTAGCTATTTGTTGGCCTTAACGCCAAGTGGCACCTTGTTTCCAACCTGTTGAGGAGTCGCTTACTCATTCGATCTTTTCCGCAATATGTTAGACATCAGCCTGTTCGCAGTTCTTTCGTTTCACTATGACTTTGGACGCTTTCCATCCGCAATAATTGCTGCCCGCATCTTTGCCGACCCAAAAAACCCGACCATCCTGCCAGATGTCCAAGGACGAGGTGCCGTTGCTGATCGAGCCGCCTCCTCCTCCGCCGCTGGCCCGCGAGGTGGAGGCACGACCTTTTCAAGAACCGGAGAATCCGTCCATGTCCGTCCCTCCATCCCGCCGCTTCCGCATGGCGAGGAGGTGGGCAGCTTGGAGGAGCTCTTGGACCAGGGGGAGTCGCTCCTCCAGGCCAGCCTCTGTAGCGGTCTAAAAGCCCCCCCCGGCCGTGACCCATCACCAAATCTGCGAGCGCTTGGCTTGGCTCGAGGAATATCGCAGCGGGAGCCCGACGCTCATCGACCGCCTCTGCACCCCGCAGAATGTGTGCGCTCTGGCTCCGGCCTGAATGCATGCAGCGTTTCTTCTTGTAGCGACTTTCTTTGAGGCTTTTTATCTTAGCCATCGGGACAGAGAGAGAGAGAGAGAGAGAGAGATCGATCTTCCGAGGTGAATCATGCTACCAAGCAGCCTTCAGAAGGCCAACGCAGAGTCATTCGCTCCAGTTCTTGTGCTTTTATACGTGGGGACTGTCTTCATCTATCTTCTACGTGTCCAGAACAAGACGGGGGAACTGACTTCAAGTTTCAGTGAAGATGCAAGTGCGAGCTGAAGCGTGGCCAGGCGTGCCACCCGACAAGGCGCGGCTGCGCAGCCACACAGCCCGCAGCCCAGCTTTTTGCAGCTGTTCGGCCTTAAGGTTCGGAGAGGCGGACCATAGGGAACATAGTTGTTGTCACGGCTCAAGTCTTCAATGTCCAGCTGATGGGGCACCATAGCCCGCTGATGTATTCACTCAACCCATCTCAACCCTGCTAGCACGCACCGGCCCCGTGCAACCAGAAAAGAACCAAGCCCGATGGCGCAAGATACCATGAGCCATGACGGCCATGAGCCATGCGAGCGCCTACGACATAGAGCTCCTGGGCCTCCCGGAGCTCAGCAAAGACGAGAAGTACTTGCGGGAGTTTCTGAATGCTGCATGGTGGGCTAGTCTTGGCGACGCGGGTATAGAGCAGGAGGATGTCAAACCAGAGGACGATCCCATCAAAGAGTGCCGATGGGACCATGGCCAAGTAATTCTTCGCTTCGGTACACCAGAAGCTGCATCTTTGGCTCTTAGCCTTAATGGTCTGCGGTGCAGAGGCTGCGAGCTGAGGTTCAGCAGGCCCAAAGGCTGCGCTACTCACAAGGCATCCAAGCACCCACACCAGGTGCAGGTGGCGGATCTGCGTGCCACCCTTGGTTTCCAAAAGGAGGCTTTCGCCATGCTTCAGGGATGGCAAGAAACCATCTTCAAAGGCAGCAGTCCTGTGCAGGTCTTGGACACGTGGTCAAGCATGCTGCCAGCCAGCCACTACGACATATTGGCCGTGGACAGGTCTGCCTCCAGCGATGAGATCCTTGCAGCTTTCCGACACCAGTGTTCACTGAACTGTGAGCGAGGGGAATTGCGAAAGGCATGTCGAATACTGACATGCGCCGAAACGAAAGTCCAATACGATCACGAACCCGAGCAGTTTGTGTGGGATGCTCTTCGTGCAGCGAAGAACGATCACTTCCAGCCAGCCTGCTTCGTGTTGCGCAACTTGGACCGCCTGCGCAAGGGGCTTGTGCGACGCATCCAAGTGTTGCCGCGGCAAAGCTCGCACCTTCGGCGTGAGAAGAAGATGATCGTCAACAGAAGTCGTGGAGCCGACCTGTGCATCGTGTCATCAGAGCCACAAGCCAAGTATTTACCATCGGAAGTCTGGGTTGCGGGAGAACGAGTGCAACTGTCAGACGTGGAGGCGTTTGTACATCGAGCAGGTGACGAGGCCGACGGATTGCGGGCGACCCCTGACCGCACCATCCTGACCGTGCCTAAGCCATTGCTCGACAAGATTCCCCACGGGGCAGATAGGCAGAACCTCATCGAATCCGTCAAAAGCACCACAGGACTGACTTTGACCATAGTGGAGGATCGGATGATTCTGGCCGCCGGACATGAGCGAGGGCCGCAGGGGCAGCATCTTCTCGCCCAAGCCATCGCCCTCCTGCAGTCCCAGGTGATTTGGAGGGCGGCCGTGCAGTTCAATCATGGCACCTATCAAGCCTGGGGTTATGCGATGTGGGCCGAGAAAATTGGCATCCAAGTTGTCCCCAACAGGGAGCCAGATCGCGACGAAGCATGGGAGGTGCTTGCAACGACTCAGCAAGAGCTGCAGCTTCCGTCGCAGGATAGCTTTCCTCAAATGGTCACTGTGATCCTCAGTGCTTTGCAAGAGCGTGCCGATGTCGGCAAAACGGTGATCAAAGTCTTGACTTCGAAGGTGGTTGCCTTTGAAGTGAAGGAAGCCAACTTCGACATGCGTGCAAAGGCGATCTGCCTCATGATCCGGTTGTGGGCACGGAAAAGGCTTGCACACACCCTTGGGGACTTTGAACAGGATGCTCTGTTCAAAACTCTTTGGAAGCTGCCGATAATGTTGGGGAACCCGCAGATGCAGCAACTTCTACTTATTAGTGGTCAAGTTCTTCAAGCGCTGCACCTGGCTTGGATCGAGTTTCCGGACAAGAGTAGCTGGCTCCCGTGGAACATGCTCCTGCCAGCAATCGGCGACCAGATCGGAGAGTTGCTAAAGCAGGCAGCCGAATCAGAACATGTTCAAATGCGATCGAATTGGAGGCGCAATGCCAGCATCGCAGCCTTCATCACGGAATACATTGCTTTCAACCAGTTTCGTGCCTGCGAGACCGGCATCCAGGCAGTGTCCAGCAGAGCTTGGCGCTCTGCGCTCAAGCAGACGACCCCGGTTCCGGCCCAAAGCGCAATGCCAAGTGCTACAGCTCAGCCATCAGCAGCCGCACCCTCACCTCCCAAGCGAGAGAGAGAGCACACCGATGACGAGAAGCCACAAAGCAAGGTGCCTCGAACGTTAATCGAAGAGTTCGAGAGAAACGCGCAGGCCCAAGTTCCTCTGTCACAGTCGCGTCAGACGACTAAGCCTAAGCAACCCGAGCAACCAGTCAAACCGAAGCAAAAGGCAATGCCGAAGGTTGGCCAGAAGAATGCCGCAAATGCAAATACAAACAACAAGCCAGCAGGGAAAGCCACCGAGACGATTGTGGTGAACCTGGACATGCATGAGGACACAACCCCTCAGAAGTCCACGATCACGTCTGCACCTGCAGACCGTGCCAAAGCCACAAGCACGTCTCCCTCTGCAAAGCCAGCGAGTTTGTTGGCATCTATGCGGCAATTCGAGAAATGGTTAAATGGCTTCGATGACGGAAAAGGCAAATTCGCCGATCTCTACTTGCAGAAGCTGCAGGAGCAGTTTAATGACATGGAGGAGTTCAAGGAATGTGCGCAGGAGTTGTGCAACTGGCAGGAGCAGAAGCTGCAATTGAGCCACGTGGAGACAGAGTTCTGGACTGCGCTCGACATAAAAACTATGGGCCACAAGCTTGTGTGGCTGAAGCAGCTGCAGAGCCTTTTCAAGAGTTGACGAAAAGCAAGAGCGCCACGCGCAGTGATTTCGTGCGCTGGTTGTGACGAACATCGTTCACTTGAACCAGGCTTCAACACTCAAAAGTCAGGGTCCCGAATAAACCCTCGAGCCTCCACTTTGTGAAGGCTGCGGAGTTGCTGTCCTTGTGCTGTCCGAGTCCGGGTGCTGAGGCTTCCGCTTCACATTTCAAGCAGTGGGGTGGAGAACATGTTGGCATGTTGGACTCTTGTGTTTGGCTGTGGTCATGGCATGGCCCTCGCCGTGAGGGTGCCCAGGACGAGCCCTGCAAATTCCGCTTGTCCCAAGCCTTCTTTGTCGGGCACTCGGCACAGCGGTTCTGCAGACGGAGATCTGCTTTTGACATTTCTTTTGCGTGATAGCCTGACCTGCCTGACCTGCCTGGCATGAGAGGGCCCCTGCTTGTCTGTGATGGAGGAAGAACCAGTGAAAGCATACCAACATTCGGGCTGAGCTCTCGCGTGCTGACTGTTGGCATTGGCTGTTTCAACCTGGGTGATTGCTGTTGCCTAGCTTGCATGTTCCACCGGCAAAATCCCAAAACTGATCAGCAATGCTGGCGCACTTGGTTGTTCCGTTCGAGGTGAACGGCACGACCGCAAATCCTCTCGAAGTGCTGCCGCCTCCTCACAACGTCGAAAGCTGGAGTCAGTTAAACGCAGCCGTTTTTGGAGCTACAGCTGCGAGGTGGAGCTTCCTGTTGGATGCCCAGCTGGATCCCAGAAGGTCAAGCTGGACGGCGCGGGGCAGGGAGATGAGTGGGCGTGTATAAATGCTGTGTCACGTGTGAGGGATGGTCGAAGGGGGTTTGCCGTGCTCGGCACTAAATGGGTGGTCTTTCAACAGTAACAGAATTCCCTCTTGCAACACTCGCTTGCAGTGCCTGCAAGAGGTCTTGGCTGGCTACTTCTGCCACACCGCCTCGGCTTTGTACCATCGATGCCCAGACCAGGCGCGACTCGTAACTTTGCGCACTTGTGGCTACAAGCTTCGCGATCGCTGACATCGACCGAAGGTCCTCGAGTACTTGCGCCACCGCGGGCCAGATCAGGCCTGGGAGTTTTTCCTTGGACAAGTCCATCGTTTCTTCCGAGAGAGGGAGAGCGTAGCAAAGAAGATCGGTCGGACGGTTCCGTTAAAGCACCTGCGCTCCTCAGACGAGTCCGGCCTTCGAGTGAATGAATTCCAGCAGCACGCCCGGCCTGCACGAAGAACCTCCCGGGCAGGTGCTGGAGTGCTTTCTTCGGTTCCTGGGAACGAGGCAGCCTGCTCCCTGAGTCAGGGGCCAGGGGTGGTTGGGGGACGCCTATTAAATGGTGTTCTGAAGATAGGGTTGGTCCTTTCGGAAAGATCGTGGAGAAGTGGCGGGAAACGAATCTACCTGTGACATAAGCTAGGTTGGCTAGCAGTCAGTTCGAGGCAAATCGCTCATATTTACTTCGCAGATCGGTGCAGCTGCCAAGATTTGTTTGCGGCGGTAGCCACGCCCGGAACGCCCTCCTCCTCGCTTCGATGCAGAAGCAGAGGTTGGACAAGATCAATACAAACTTCTTCGTGTAGGGCATGCATGACCACATGCGAGCAGGCGACACGCTACATGACATAATTCATAATGGTAAGCTCTTCGCAGTTTGCCTAGATTTGGGAGCAAATCAGAGCTCATGAGGCTCACTCTCCACCAGAAATTTTGGTGCGGGCTTGCAAGCCAAAATCAGATTTCTTGGAGGAGGGGGGTCAGTGGCCACTTAAACAGCCGCGGGTCGGGGAGGGGACTAAGAGAGGGGGAAGAGGTTCCCGGAGAGGAACGAAACCTCTGACCGCTTCGGCCGCGGCCGAGGCGAGTAAAGTGCATCGGCTGCTCGCATCAGCATAAATCTAAATCGCAGCAGTCGCACGTGTCAATGCCTCAGCTCATCGCACTGTCGCATACCCTCATTGTGTGCCTCTGATCTGCCACCAATTACATCATGCCTGCCGCCAGGTGCATAGCAGAGCTTTTTGCCACGCTGCTGTGCGCCCCAGCAACGATCTTGGGCAGGGCCGGATGGTTGATGGATATGAGCGGCACGCTGAAACGGTGTTTGAACCCACGGCCGAGGACCCAGAGCATGGCCTCTTCGAAGTGGACGGGCTGATCCTGCGCCTGGTCGAGCATTTGTCAGGCACCCGCGGTCCTGCGTCTTGACGCGGGTCGAACACCGACGTGTGTCTTCACATCGAATCATCTTGAAGCAGGTGATGCTCCTCCTAGCGAAGACCCGAACGAGAACGTTTCCCTCGTCCTCAAGACGTTGATAAGCCAGGCAGGCTGAGACGATGTACCAGCAGATATGTTGAGTCCTGTGTAGTCCGACAGTCGCCCAAAGCCGCCCCATGAGCATCTGTGCGAATCTCGGCACAGTATGGAGGAAACTGAAGTGGAACCGAAGATGCGTTGAAAGGGTTGCTGCTTGTTGTAGGGCTTTGCAACCTTTGTAGCAGCCATGCCGCCATGCCCCAACCTGGAAGCTGCATGCTAGAAGGCTAGTTCTGCAATGGCAGATACACTGCCTTGACGTTGCACGTTGCAGGCATGTGCCAAGAAGCTTTACTTCGCCTCGGCGGTTGTTGATCAGATGTGCGGCGCTTCTGCGTCGAGTGTGGAGTGTGTCCTGTGGTAGGTCTCCAGTATTCAGCTCTGAGCCTCCATGTAGTTTGTGTGCGGAGATGAGTTGGCAGTCCAGGTCTTCGCCCATCGTGGTGGAGCGGCTTGTGAGCAAGGCCCCATCATCGGGTTCGCACATTGGATACCTCCCAGCCGACCCCCCCGCCTCTCGGTTACCTCCGCAGGGTGTTCTGGAGGTGGTATCACTCCCCCCGGAGTCGCCATAGCAGGTGCTGTTATGTGCTTCACTGTGGGCCCACCCCGCCGCTCTGTTCTTCTCTCATAGGGTACCTTCAAGGCGGGGTGCACTTCTAGATGGTCGTCATGAGTTGATCCTTACTCGTGTTGTTCCCACCCCCGCCACCGCTCATTTCTTCTCTTGCGAGGTACCCCTCCGCGGACGGGTACTTCATGCAGTCGTCATGAGAGGATCCTTACCCACAGTGGGGGTTACCTCTGCAGGGTATTTCCTCCTGGGGGCAATCACTTGCCCCCCATATGAAATACACCCCCAGCATTGGAATCGATTCCGCCCGGATGGGCTTTCTGGACTCTGCAGTTCTGCGTTCCTCTTACCCCCGCAGCCTGCACCCCTTGCAGTCCTCCGTTCCTCTGGCTTCTTGCACCGTTCACCATGACTCCGCGTTCACGCAGCTGTTGCAGCTAGCAGTTCCTTTGCAGTCCAGTTCCTGCAGTGTTGACAAAGCTGCGAGTGATCCTACAGTAGTACTTTTATTGTATACTGCCGTTGCCTCAATGCTCTCAACCGTGGTGACCACTGATGTGACCACTCCTTTGAATCACGGGATCCGCGCAACGAGCCATTCTGTGAATCAATAACGGGTGGCTTAATGGTAGGGGGAAGCGATTATAGTCGTCATGCGCCCTGCGTGGGATACCTCCTGGAGGTAGTCGTCCTGACAGGCTCGATTCGCATGCAGTGGAGACCTCCCACCAGCCCGCCCGCTCTCTCACTTCTCCCTCGCAGCTGCGGGGTACCTCCTGGTGGTAGTCGTCATCAGGCCTCCTGACCCAACCGCAACGCGTTGGAGACCTCCCAACGACCCGCACCCTCCCGCCGCTCAATTCTTCTGCCCTCGGGTTACCTCTGCGGGTTATTTGTGGGTCCCCCCCCCCCTACCTGCATTAGCTCGTCTCTCTCCTGCGCAGTATATCTCTGCGGGTTACTTCCTATGGTCCAGGATGAGGGATGCATATGCGAGACACCACCTGCTTTGCCCAGGCATGCGCGGAGTCTGATGAGCTGGCTTCTATGGCGAAAGCTGCAGCCACTCAGATGAAGCCAATTCGAAGGTTCGAGACAGATTCTTGCCGATTGGAGTCACTTTGTCATGATGTCGCAGCGACTCCAGACGGATTGCGACGGAGGATAACCCCACATTGCTGAAATGTTTGCTTAAGCACCTCCGCCTGCTGATAGCTGATCATTTCTCGCTGCGGGATGAAACTTGACTTCCGGAGCTTTCATGGCAGTGGGACCAGATGGCCTGGGATATTCAGGTGTGGGCATTGCAACCATTCGGTCTTGAGAGTTGCGCTTCATTAATTCGGTTTGCATGGCTTATGTCAACTTATGTCGTGAAGGGTAAGAGAAGCACTGAACGTGCATGGCCCAAGGCATCCGTTCTGGTCGGAGCAGTCTCGCAGATTCTTCATGTCACGCTCGGGCCACAGCTGGAAGCTGGAAGCCCCAAAGCTCCCTTTGCCCAAATGAGGCCTGTGTTCGAAACGAGTTAGCCATTTCTAGTCACGTTTGCATCTCCTTGGTCTCTCAGCTGCCTTGCTTGTGTATCTTTGATCCAGTGGTTTATCCATCTGCTTTTGTTCCCATCAGTTGCTCCGCCTATGTATCTGTGCCGTTCCATGAGGCGCCTCCTCTGCGTTGCAGTGATTTGCCTTATCCTTGGCCTTGCCTCCTATTGTTGCTTGCCTGGACATCGCCTAGACAAGGTACTTTCTCTCTCATCTTGTCCAGCTTATGTCCCTGCTGTTTACCCTCTTAATTATCGCTGATACCTCGAGTTTGCACCATGGGGTGACATCGAGCTCCAGAACTTTTCGTGCTCGACGCACCCTCCACCACGAATTGGCTCCCTCTGCTTGGGAGCAGGTCTTTTCTGAATATGTAAGAGGCCCAACCCAGCGCTGGCCAGCCGTGGACCGAACTTGCTGCAACCCTTCGAGGAGGAGAGACTTGTGGTGTTGTGCATAGCTGGCACTGTAATTTATTGAATGTGTTGGCGCCGCATGTCTCAGAAAGTGCGGTGTGACGTTTATAGCTGGCAGTTCTGTTCCGGAATGTTGCGATTTGGTACATTTCCAGCGGAAAGCTTGGTACAGCAAGCATGCAGTTTTGGCGGAGAGACTTGCGCAATCTGCATCAATTTGCATGTGTGTGTGAAGGAGGAGAGCCACGGACAAGAGACCGAGGCCGATGGTGATGGTGGCGGCCTCGGACTCATCAAATGCAGCTTGGAGTGTGTGCACGTTCCCTCTCATCCGCCCTAGTCATAGTATATCGGTCGTTGCTCAGAATGCATGCAGAGTCTTTAGGACAAGCCTATCTTGGGTTCTGCTTCGGGAGAGCGTAGTTCTACCAAGACTCACGGCGTGCTGCCGGCACTGCCCTTGCCGATCCGCCCAGTTTCGAAGGGTTTAATGAAAACACTTGCGAGGCTCAAAGTGATCATGACAATTCTCATACAACTCAGCCTCGCAGCCTCGTGCTGCGAGTGTGGGCATCGAAACTTCTGCGGTCTGAGAGAACACCCGAAACGCCACTGCCGAGATGGTGACCTTTTCATTTGCCTGATGGCAGGTCCAGCACATTTGCCAGCACTTGCCTGCCCTTTGTACTTGGCCCAGCTTTCCAAGTGCTGATTCCATACGTCAACTCCATGCATACGAGTTTCCATCCGTGAGTCGTTGCATGTTTAGTCGGGTTGCTGCGATGCGACATGTCTGAAGGGATAGTTTTTCAACATCGCCTGTTCTCCCGTGTTCAGTAAGACCAAGGGGGGGCGACCCTGCGACTGTCTTTGTTTGCAACTCTATTGAGCCGTAACTGAGGCGACAGTTTTCTGGGAGCTTCGAAGGACAGGTTGAACCTGCCTCGCTTTTGAAAACGCGTGGGGTGGTCCTGGAGGAAGAGGACGAGGGCCCGCCCAGTGCCCAGCAGTTCTGGGCTCAGCTCCACTTTCTTGTATTGCGACTGTTCGTCCCTGGCGTAGCCACACAAAGCCGCATTATTCTTATGGATTTCGCATGGTCGGTAGGGCAGAGGGAAGCTCCATCGCCTAGTGGTTCAGCGGCTGCGCCAAAGGCCCGTGTTTCAATTCCGCTGTCCTCACCTCTCTTCGGGGCGTCAGAATCCGGATGTTTCCTCCGAGCTGAGGCCTCGCCAGTGTCCTCCTCGTCTAAATTGCTCGGAGAGCGCGTCTGAAAATAGGATTGTTCTCAATTGGAGGCCTCGCCAATGGTTTTGAAGGCCAGGAAAGCTAAATCCTGCGCACTGGGTTGCGCTTGGCTGGTTGGGGCTGTGCTGGGCTGACGGCGACAATGGCCAACAGTATTTCGAAGGCGGCAAAGGCCAGTAGTCGTGCCCATGAAAACTGCTGGAAAGATGCTTTTCTGAACGCTGCTGTTCGGGTGCATAAGCGTACGAGGCATGGCTACAGCGGAGCAAGTTGTCATTATGGAGACGAGTAGGTCTTAGGCAGAAGAACCGAAGGTGGTGCTAGTGTTGGTGTTGTTGGTGGTGGAGGAGTAGTGTAAATGTTGTCCTCATCCTCGTCCTCATCATTGGTCCTGCCGTAGCTTTTGTCTTGACATGCGCAGCAATTCTGTCTTGACACGCGCAGCAATTGCAGCAATCCTAGTGGGAGGACAAGTCTGACAAGCAACATCGGCAAACACAGCACTACCAGTAGAAGTGGAAGCAACCAGAACTCAAGCCAGCAGCCTAGCCGTAGTCGTGTTTGCTACTTGTAATGTTTGTAGCTAGCCAGTGGGTTAGTCAGTCCGTTAGATAGTTCGTTAGTCAGTCAGTCAGTCAGCCAGCCAGTCCAACGTGTTTGAGTTAAGTTAGGCAAGGCGAGGCTAGGCTAGGCTGGGTTGGGCTGGACTAGGTTGGGTTAGGATAGGTCGGTTGGTTGAGTAGCTAGTTACTTAACTAGCCAGCTACTGAGTTAGTTAGTTAGTTAGTTAGTTAGGTAGGTAGGTAGGTAGGTAGTTAGTTAGGTCTTTAGTCAACTGGCTAGCCGGCTGGCTAGCTAGCTAGTCAGTGAGTGAGTTAGTTAGTTGGCCAGTAAGTCAGTCGGTCAGTAGGGCGGGCAGTCAGTCAGTCAGTTGGTTGGTTGTTTGGTTGGTTGGTTAGCCAGTTAGTGCGTTAGTTTGTTTGTTCGTTAGTTAGTTGGATCGTTAGTAAGTTATGAAAGTCAAGCTAGAGACCGTCTTGCACTACCATCACGCTGTTCCCATTTCAGAGATGGTCATAGAACTGTGCACTTAGCACCAGTGCCAACAGAGACGGTGGCCATGATAAGGCTAAGGTGGACCCGGGAATAAAGTTTCGTCGCATCTTCTGCGGAAGGTAATGGAGTAGGGCGGAGCATGGGCAGTCACAAGTACCCTTACTTGGGTCACCCGATGGAAGTTGTAGTGCTATAGATGTTTGGGCGGAGGGCCTGTGGAGGAGTCTGCGGGGGAGAGGGGTCTTGGAAGGGTTTGCTGTATGTTAACAACGGAGAGTACGACTTCCGGACGGGCACAGTACTTGTCATGGACATGATAAGATTACCAACAACAAAGTAAGTCTCGAAGGCATCTTCTTGACGGACAACGTCTTCGAGAAGCCATCGTACTCCTGCTTGAGGCTCCTGTGCATTCCGGGCTTGACAGGGGTGCAGGTGGCTTGAAGTTTGGATTGCAAGGTTTGTTGTTCACCAAATCAGCCAGGAGCTTTGTGCTGGCATCGTCGAGGGCTTTTTGTTAAAACTCAACGGGCCACGACTGGTGGACTCACGTCCGTCACACTTCACGTTGACTCGTGCAAGCCCCTTTTCTTGTGGTTCGTGGAGGGCAGCATCTGCATGCAGCCACTGCAGGCAGCGGAGAGCGACCTGTGCAACGAGGATGGCCGTCACGAGAGCGCGTTGAAAGAATCCTCGAAGTCGACAGTAACTTTCCAGACTACCTCGTCAGGACTTGTGGAACCAGCTCTTGCAGCTGGCCACGGGGTCGAAGCTGCTGGAGGAGACGGCAAGTTTCATGAACGCGCAAGGTACATCCTAGAAGCATCGTGAACCCTTCAGCTGCCCAGAACTTCTGGAACGGATCCGCGTATCTGCTCACAGCTTGGTTAAACCATCTATATGCCAAGCACTTTGCTGCTATCACGGTCGCAAATCGCTTGGTTTTATGAACCAGAGTGTTAGCTAGTGACGGCTACAAATAGGACATATCAGCTTCATATCATGAAAGCTCGACAGGCTCCCCTCCAAGTGTCGAGTGTTGGGGTAGTGACTCGCAGAACATCAGCAAGTGCACCGCAGCACCCTTTCATTCTACATTATTTCTCCCCCTGGGGTGGGTTTGGCACGGCTCGTCGCGATGAACCGGTCTCGCTGTGGCGCCGTGCTCATTTTCTAGCTTGCCGATGAACCCACCACCGGGATTGTGCGTGTCGAAGCGCTCTCGCTGTGGCGCCGTTCGAATTTTCCAGCTCGCCGATGAATCCACCACGGGGATCGTGCGTGTCGAAGCGCTCTCGCTGTGGCGCCGCGCGACTTCTCCTCAATGTCGCCTACATTACAGCACCTACACCGCACCAAGACCACCCAGCACCTACAAAGCACTTACATCACAGCACCCACGCTGCACCAAGACCACAGCACCTACACAGTACCTCACGGCACCCGCGCCGCACCTACATCACAGCGCCCACACAGCACCGAGGCCACAGCACCTACATCACGGCACCCACGCCGCACCAAGACCACAGCACCTACACAGCACCAAGGCCACAGCACCTACATCACAGCACCCACGCCGCACCAAGACTACACAGCACCTACATTACAGCACCTACAAAGAACTAAGGCTACACAGCACCTGCACCGCGGGCCACGACGACAGCACCTACAACACCGCCAGAAATTGCAAATGTCGAACTCATTGCCATCGGGATAATCGGGGCCTAGTTGTTTTCTTGCTGCATCTTGAGTCCTGCCCTGCATGGCTCTACCATACTTCACTTTCTCGACCTGGCCACTGCCCACCACGAAGACCATGACAATCAACGGCGTAACTTTGTTAATCTTGTCCTTTCCTCTTCCCTTGTCATTCACTACGAGAGATATCCAGAATGATTGCAGCAAGACCCGGTGGCGACAGAAAGGTGGTTATTGTTTCTCCCTGGCGCAGGACACGCTGAGCGCGCATCTTGCTCTCCGAGACGGTAGCAGCAGCGAGAGTGCGGAGGTGGGCCGAGCCCCGCCATCTACCTACCACTGTCTTTATCTTGGCAGCTAAATCGCTGATGATGTCAGTCCGTCATGACTAGTGTATGAAGAAGGCCGGTCGACATATGACAGGTCATTTCGGCGTTTAAATCACTTTCAGTCAGTCCAAGCACTTTCCTTGTAGTTCTTGTGGTGCAGCCGGCAGACTCAAGAAGAGCAGCTCTTCAATTGGCACGGTTGGTGTGATCTTGAAACTGCTTTGAAGGGAGACAGACCTTGGCGTAACTTGGTAATTTTTCAACATGGCAGTCATTGCAGCGGGGCAGGTGTTGGGAAAGAGCCAGCTCATCGCCGATCTTCGCCGTGCTCGCGTTCCGGCCTCTGCATTGGGGAATGTTGGAGGCTGCTGTAACCGCAAGCGGATTGTCCGTAAATCGCCAAGGCAGCCCACGAAGCCGAAACTAGCAGGCTTTGCCAGACAACGCAGAGGCCGCGGAGACAACCTGCTCCGAGACACGACTGGATCCCAGCACAGCATTGCTTCTTTGGACGCTTCATGTTGAGGATATCATGTCTATGGCATGTCAGCACTGCTTTCTGGGCTTGCTCGGGGGCACAAGGTCAGACAAGTCAAAGAGCAGTGTTTCGTGGTACTGTCCTGTCCAATGTGCTCAGGTGATGTTCCCTTGTCGTGTGTTTCTGTGTCGGGATGGTGAAGTCTATCTTGATATATTTGGATGCCCATCCGTCTTTCAGTGCGTGCAGATCGTTGAAAGTCGCGGATGGGCCGGCGGCTGTCGAAGCCGCTAGCCAAGCTATCGATGTCACAGCCATTCCATGATATTCCACTTGTCCACCAGAGGCGTCGCAAAGCTTGGCCACATGTCTTTGCGCTTGACACTCTTGGGAGCTTCCCAGTCCGCACTCAGGCCATGTCGCTGCTAGTAGAGCTCGCTCGTCTACAAGACTCCGAGGTGCTTCAGGCTCCACTACGTCGGTTCGCCGATACCAAAACCATAATATGAGTTTCTGATATCACGTAGCCGATGAGCAAGATATGGCCATCTTTGTCAGGTCTGTAGGTCTTTCTCAAGACAGCGGCTGAGTGCCAGCACGTCGGTCGTGGTGCGAGACCTTCCAACTTGATGGCGTCGAGTGCGGTTCCTGCAACTACGGATGCAAGCAAAGGCGACCGATCGACCTAGCATGGCCCATCAGTGCATGATCTCTTACTGTCTTGCTAACCACCTTGACTTGCAATCCAATCCGTGTTTGCTGCCCAGTGTAGCGAGCGTCTGGGAGGCCTTTGTGGAAGAGCTGGTCCTGCCGCGGAGCCTGCGCCGCCTCTTCGACCGGTCTTGGGGCGCAGTGATGCTTAACGCCGTGTGGTTGCCCAGCCTGGACCGTGGATTTGGCAAGCTTTGGACTGTAGATTTCAGATCTCAGAGGGCATGATGCTCCTCAGTAGGCTCTCTTTAGACCTTAGTGAACATGGCAGTTGCAGCCAGAGGGAAAGGAGCAGCTCTGACGTCGTGACTCGGCTCTCTGCCCAGATGCCTGTGGGGAGTTGCGGTTTTGATCAGGTCACAGCCTTGTGCGTGGAAATCCTCCGATGCCCCGAGCCGAAGGGCAAAGAGGCGCTGACATAAAAAATGGAGACCTTGCTGCTTTCTCTCTGTCGGCCCTGTCGCTTCTTTGGAGAACGCCTGCAATGGAGTGAAGCTACATACACCAGGTCGTTAGGTCCCTAGGTCCTAGGTTTTTCCGCCCAGATCTCAGGGGAAAGTCACAGCACTTCCACCAGCTCCGACTGTGAGGCCGCCCTATCCTTGCTGGAGGAAGGCGGGGCAAGAGCGGCCAACAACTGTCCGGTGAAGGAGGGTCCTCACCGTTTCACGAGGCCACCTGCTGGATCGTGTGGCCGGCGTCCTTCGGAGGCAATCCGAAGTTCGAGAGGCCACGCTGGGATCCGCTGTTCACACAAAGACTTCATGGCTCCAGATCGCACAGAGGGGCATCCACGTTCCCCTTCCTGAAACTTGCGCGCAACATCTGAGCCAAAAATGCGGCAGCTGGAGAGGCCTTGTCGCATCGGCAAGATCACAAAGGAGAGGGCCTCAGGTGCAGACCAAGGATGCGCGTCAATTCCATCGGTTTCACGTCTTCAACAATGTAGCACCTCCAGCGGATCGTGCCGGCCGGACAGACTTGTGCAAGCAGGTTACAGTTGTTTCGCCCTCCTTCCAAGTTGCTTTCTCTGTTGCTGGTAGATTCCGTGGGCCTCACGAATCCTTGCGACGCGGGTCAAGCTGCAATTTCCCAGCTTACTAAGGTGAGCTTTCCATGCCTCAGCTTGCTGCACCACTGCGCAAGATCTGTGCAGGGTCCTAAGAGTCCAGTCGTAGGCAAGAGGTGCAGTGTTCCGTCGCTCACGGTTTCGTAAGCACACCACCATACACCACCCAAGGCAGAATTACGCGAAGCATGCAGCAGATGGCCGGAGGCGTGGGAGTGGAGAGTTCCGGGGCCTGCTTTGATTTCCGATAGTCCTCCTGCATGTCGATTCTTCGCCCCAGCTTGTGCGTAGTCGTGGTAGCCGGATGGGTCAAGAAAGCAAGGTGCACATGGGCCTCTTCAATCTGGACGCCTGGACGGAGGTACTCCCGGCACATCCGGAGATGCAGGGATGCTTCAGGTGGAGGACTGTACAAGGAGGGCTTCTGACTGCCGGGGTGCCATCTGACCTCGCGGTCTTCCAGGTCATCCTCCCGGATTTAGAGGAGTTTGCGCAGCTGGAGGAGGAGCCACTGGGCCGCGGACCTGGCATTTCATGTCAGTATCGTCAGTATCGTGCGACCGAGCGCAGTCATGACCTGGTCAAAAGCTTAAGCACCATGTGATGTTCTCAAAACAACAGCAGGAGAGGAATCGCATTACAACGCTTTGCCTGTTCATTGCAAGAGGTGTAATGCCCAGCCAAATCGGGCAGAGTCCACAGATGCATGTAGCTTATGCTAGCCTGCGCTCTTTTAAGCGTGTGAGGTGGCTTCGACAAGCTTGTGAACGTTGGATCCGTGGTACAAAACCCAGAGTGAGTGGAGTGCAGACAGGTAGGTGTTGGACACGCTTTCGACAGTTGGCTGGTGAGGCCATTCCTGGTGAGGTGGAGTTCACCCCTGAGGCAGCGGGATAAAGCTGTGGAAGCTTGAAGACAGCTTCTCTCGCATGCATTACATAATTACATATCAACCCCACGAAGGAACAAACACTTCCTACACCACATCCTACACCTCCTTGCTCAACTTACTTTCGGTAATTGCATGGCACGGATTCCAAAAAACTACTTCACCTGTAGTGTACCAACCCATTCCGCAACAGACGCGACCCACCGTTGCATGCCCTGCATTCATTTTCTGCCAGGCAGAGAGTAGATGCTGTGCTAAGTCTCGCAACTTTCGCCAGGACCTCCGTGACATCGATGAAGATTTCGACACGGAGTCACTCGCTCTGGAGCATTCAAGTGCAGAGTGAGGGTAGCGCTCATCCTTTCAGCTTACCTGATGACTGGTGTTTGCTGTGCTGAAGCTTGCCTTTCAGTCATGTGCCAGCTTGTGATCAGAAGTCCATGCGCAGGCTGAGTTTGGCTTGAATTTGAGGTGTTTGCTAAACCTGGCGGGTGAGCAGATGCTCCAGCGACAGGCGCCAAGCCGGGGTGTTGGGCCTGGAACCCTCCTTGGAGCCCCTCAGTTTTCAGCAAAAAGACATGAATCGATGGGTGTCGCCTTTCTGCACGCTGCTACCACTGGACAACTGTACGTTCCATGTGGTTGGACGGATCGTGCAACACGTGTCTCACATCCAACTGCGCATGACAGGCCCAGGTTGCAGCACAGAAAGCTGGCGGGACCGGGCCCCTGCAAGCTTCCGTGCCGTTGACAGCGAGAAGACCGGATTTTGAGTTTGTACGCAGCAAATATGAAGCAAAGCATCCACATGAAGTCGCTGCTCAAGAGGGAAGAGGGCACAGCAAAGCCTCGACGGATGATGATTCCAGCTCCCTTCAACATGTTTCGCTTCGTTCGCAGGAACGAAGTTGAGGGAACGCACGAGACAGCTCCTGTAGAGTTGCCAAATGTTCCCGACGAGGCACGTATTGCGGCTTGGGGTCTCCGGTTGAGGGGTATTGAGGCTTGCGGTCGCGGCAAGGGGTGAAGTCAAGTGAGCAGGGCAGTCAGCCATTTCTGTTGTTCTGAGCACGGAGTCAAGGCCTTTTTGCCTGAGACAACACGCTAAGTTGCGCAGACTCGCTGCGAGCTGTGAGCCTGCAAGTTACCACTGCCTTCCAAAAGTCCGATGCCCCTCAATGCTACGACACAAACATCACTTGAGGCCGTCAGTTCATGATTATCAGTACTGCCCTTACGAGAGTTTGCCTCATCTGTCTTGTCAGACAAGACAAGAACTACTACTTTCGTGCCTGAAGTTTTCAATTCTCGTGTTTGTTTGTGGCACCGCCTCTCTGACTGAGATCCTGATGGTGACAGCTGTGCAGGAGCCTGGGCCCGTGGGCAATCTCGAGCCAGGTGCCCTTCCTTCACCGGTCTTAACAGCTCGTGCCATCATCTGACTTTCTTAGCCAGTTCAGGCCTTGTTACGGCCATAGACTAATAGAAGAGGTCGCAGCGTAAACCCGCTTGCCCTGAACGCAAACGACGACTTGCCAAGAGGTCTTCCTGTAACTGTCAAGGAGAATACGCTTTTGACGAGCCAGAAGAGATTTTTTTTGCAGAGGGTGGCCTTCCCAGTGGGCAATATTGGGCACTGAGAGGTTCGCGTCGAGTTTGCAATCAGGTTTTTTTCCACCACTAACATGATTTTGAGCCTGTAGCATGTTCTCTAGCTGCTCCACCAGGCTAAGTTAGCGCTTGAGCCTGGCTGCATGGATCGGGCCCAAAAAGTTTAAGTGGTGGCCCTCTCGATTGCATCTTCATTTGCTGCTCCTAGCCTAGAGGGAATTTCCCGGAATTGCTGCTATTGGTTCTGTTCACTGTCGCCACGGCAATTGCTACTTGTGGGGATTGGCTGGATGGTAGCAGTGGTACCAGTAACGGAAGCGGCTACTAGTGGCGGCGGCACGCAGCGCTTGCCACACCAACACGAGACAGACTTTAACAGGTGAGATTGCACAGAGGCCAGTAGCAACACGCCGCTGCTGAAAACAATCGTTTGTCGGTGACGATGTCAAGGCAAAGCCACACGTATCCGTCATTGCAACTAAGCTTTGATGGATGACTCGGCACAGCAGAGGACGAACATCATAGACTTGCTATGTAGGATCGTGAAAGGATGATGGACATGTTTGCTATGGCCCTTCCGTGAAACGGCTGTAGCAGCTAGTGATTAAGATTCACGGGGCCGCTGTCTCCGTCTTTCTCGTTCTCTCTGTCTCGCTCTTCCTCTCTCCCGCTCAGTGAGGGTTGCAACTCCTCCTGATTCCAGACTTGTGAAGGGCCCTATCCAGCACAGGATCTCAAAGTGCTGCATCTATATATTCATCTTCGCAAGCTTTGAACCCAAATCCTACATCCAGACTCTGCTTAGGTTGGCCAGAGGCTACTAGTAGCTAGACGAGAGCAGGAAACAGCTCTCGGGCTCTCGCCCTGTGACGGTGATTTCTTTTACTTTTGAGAGTCTTCTTCCATCCTCTTCCAAACTGATAGCCATATCGTTTGCAGGGCGGCACACGCCACCCAAGGTGGTTGCTTTCAGAACAGCATGATAGAGGGTGCCCTTCTGCTTTTTGCTTTTTGAAGAAGCCTGGCCTGTCTCTGGGTGTCTGACCCGAAGGCTGTCGACGGACTGGATCAAATTTCGTCGTCGTGGTACCGGACTCGAACCACCCTGCAATGCACGCCGGCCCTTGCGAAATGGAAGGCACAAACCACTGCAGCCCTCGCAACACAAATGTATTTTCGATCAAAGCCTTTCCAGTCATCTGAACCTGGCCAAGCGGAACGTGGCTAAGAGGAGCCTCAGGGATGCACTCTTCTACCACTCTTCAGAAGTTTGATGAAAGACACAATGCCAGCATTGTGTGTATGAGGTATGTTCCGTTGGTCTGTCTGTCGGCAGGTAGGTAGGCAGGTAGATATGAAAGCAGGGACCTATGTATTTATGTTTGTATGTATGTATGTATGTATGTATGTATGTATGTATGTTGGTCAGTATGTGTACGAACATGCCTGCCAGACACATATATCTGTGCATAGACGCTCACACGCACACGCATACACTGGCATACACGCCGATACGTGCGCATACAGGCACATACGTTCACATACATACGCTAAACACGTACCCGCACATGCACATGCACACACATGCAGACCTACACAGTTACGTGCACATGCATACACATCAATGCACGCACGCAAATATGCTTACATGCATGCATGCAAGCATACATCATCGTATCGGTATCAGTCTGTCATTATGTCCTGGGAGTGTGCAGGTGTTTCCCCTGGTACTTGCACTTGTTTTGCTAGAGCTGCATTCGAGCTTCGCGCGAATTCCCTGAAGTGCGATCTGGCGAACTCAGCGGGATAGGGTGGCTTGAAGGGCCCAAGTCTGCAAGACCTAGCGCTTGGGACATGAATTCCTGATACATCTCTTCGATTGTGTGGCCGAAAGTTGCGAACGGTGGAAAGGCAACCCAGCTAATGATTGAGGAAGGGTTTGGATAACACCGGCCAGGTGCAGGAGACGCTGAGTGGGTGTAGGCTTGGCAGCGCAGAGACTTTTTGGACTAGCGAGAGTGTGTTGGAACTCCGGCTTGCGAAAGTGCCCTGCTGCGGCAGACTGCCGATCCATAAGTTTGGCAAAGCAGGACAGGTTGTTTTGTCTTGTGCATTGTAATCACGGATGCAGCAGACGCAGTGGCAACACACTTTGTCCTTTCACGCAGTCTCAGTTGGTGAGACCTGACCCGGACAGGAAGCGGCAATGAAAAGGCCTTTAAGCCTTTGGGTGCGGATTTGTGGCGACAGGACAGGCTCTAGAACCCTGCATGAATAATGATTCTTCAGATGAGCTCTCAACTATGGCGGGGCATGCAAGTGTCATGGTGCTTGCCTCTCCGGGGCTGATCGCTTTTTATACCGTGCACGTGCTGCCCGTCCCAAGTTTAACACTTGTTTGGACACCTTAATGGTGCGACGACGAATCTGCTGCGATGTTATCCCTTGGAACATCAGGTGGCCCCCACCAGATTTTCTTGACACACTACCGCGACGGTGTCCCAACAACATTCTGCTGAATGGGGGTCTTCACCCTGCTCCTTTGCTTACGGCTCGGCTCTGAAAGATCCGAAAAGAACATGATGATGATTCTCGCACCAGGTTGGAGTTGAGTCATGGGACGGGGCGGCTAGAGTTATTTCCTACTGGGTTTCAAGGTCAAGGTTCAAGGCCCCTGGCAGTGCACAAACTTCGAGCTGGAATCCGTCCAGCATGGTAGCAATGAGTGTAGTATCCACTCTTCGGACGGCGCTGGACTTTTCATGTCGACTCTCGTTATGCTGCCTCGCAAGCATTGGCAGGCAAGTTATCAGTAGGCCCACAGCAGAAAATACCTTCCATGCGCGGCGATAGCTCTAGGTCAACCGACTTGAAGAGGAAGCCATGAACTCTAAGACCGCGTGCTAGCGCCGACTCAGCAAAAGGGGAGAACCAGATTGCACCTGAAATTTGGCGGGCTCGCCTCTTGGGCTGCTCTGTGTCTCATGGGGCTCTGCGCGTCCCAGGGCTCAGCCCGAGACTCAGTGAGACAGAAGGGATTTGAGGAGAGTAACTCAGTGGCTGCAGATGCCTATTTACGAAATGGAGCTGAAGGGTATGCCTGTTTGTAGCAGAGCCTCACGAGAGCTAAGATCTGTGCTGCCAAGGCGCACAAGAAGTTTGCCGAGGCAATGTGAAGACTGCAAGCATGGTGCTGTTCTGTGCTGTCGGTGCCGTGGGGTGGGAGCTGATTGGAAGGTTATTCTTTCCATCTCAGAAGTTGCGTTGGCCGGTGCCATCGGGGCATGTTTGACCACCGTCATTTGCTCGGCTCCCTTTAGAGGCACCACCGAGCAATACGGAAAGGAAGGAAGGAAGCAAGGCCTGCTCGATAGTTCTGCTCCAACCCAAGTCCGAGGCTCGAAAAACAAGATACAGGAACCACTCGGCCATGCTCGCTGATTCCTGCTCTCGCTAATTCAGAATGACAGCAGTTAGTCTGGCCTGGTGGTCTGCCCCTTCTGTTGAAGTCACTGTGGCTGCCGATGCAATTCCATTCTCATCCGTTATCTCAGTGGTAGATTGGCCGGGCATCCTCGCTGTTGCGTTCCGCAGGCGCCGACCCAGCCCAAGCCGCAGACCAGGCATGACCGCCCGCCCCCCTCTATGTATAAGATGCGAGGCTCTTGAGGCTGTTTTCGGTATGGTATGATCACCGTTCAATCGATTGCCCTACAATGTATGAATTTCACTGTCATCTGAAGGCCCTGCTGTTGAGGAGTGTTCGCTGGTGCACAATCCAAGCCCATGCTGAGAAACTGTAATCTGGCTATGCAGGAACAACAGAAGCCGAATGGTCCAGGTGTCATCATTGTGGTCGGAAGTGGAAAACCAAAGCGAGTATAGCCAGATGCAAGCATCAGCAGGCACAAGCGGCACAATTCCAAGCATGACCAGCGGCAGGAAGAAGCATGAACTTGGTCAGCACAAGAACATGCACACATGCATGCATGCAGGCTGCATACATACTTGATACATATACAAACGTCCATACATACATACGCACATACATACATACATACATACATACGTGCATACATACGTGCATACATACGTGCATATATACGTACATACGTACGTACATACATATACATGCTTACATACCTACATACATACATACATACATACATATTCATACACATGTACACCTCCAGAACTGTCCAGTACACCTTTGCATTTTGTAGCCTTCATGGCCCAGAAGCCACTCGATTTTTGGATTCTGTTGAAGGTGCCTGCCATTTAATCTTGTTCATTTCCGTTGTTGGACGGTCCCTCAATGATAGGTGAGCAGGGAGAACTATGAAACCAACTGCGATGATGTTTGCTCTTTCTCTCTCACTCTGTCTCCCTCCCCCTCTCTCTCTCTCTCTCTGTCTTGTGACATTTCCAAGCATGATCTTAATGGGGTGTCGCTGGGAGTTTGTTGTATTGAGTTGCACATGAGAGATGAGGGGTTACGAAGCTTACAGGCCCCACAGCAAGCTCGGACTAATGTGACTCCAGTAATCATAGGTAACGGTAACGGTCCGCACTGCCTGCATGCACTGGCCGTATTTCCTTGGGAGCGCACTCCACATGGAACCCTCCTGCCCCGCGGAGGGAGTCGACTGCTGCACCTGATGATGGGCCAGGGGCCAGTTTGCAGGGTTGATGGCCCGCTTCTTGCTGGTTCAGAACACACAGCAGCACAGCACTCATGAGTGCGAGGCATCCACTATCATTCATCGTAGGCATGAGCACGCATGCCTAAGCTGTGGTGCCCAAGTTGGTCAGCTGACTATGATTGCTTTCGAGATTCCAAGCCATCAGGTCTCAATCAGAACCGTCCGATGACGAGGAGGCTGTGCGCTGCCTCAGATGGTAGAAGTTTTTTCATGCTCTCTACGTGTTCTTTCAAGATGGACTTGCCTCACCCCCAGCATATGTCGGCACTCCGTTGCAAAGCTGCAACATACAGCCTTGCTACAGCCACTGTCCTCAGGGCCCTCCAGTAGGCACGAGCAACAGACGGTTGTTAGAACGCGCGCACAGTCCATCATTCGTCCATGTCCTGGATGAAGCTGAGTGTGCGATTTGGCTATGTTCCATCCTTCACGCCGTCCCAGGGCACGAGGTCTCGCTGGGCGGACGTTTCGACGGAGTTCTCCAGCAGGCAAGGCATAAGTAGGCTCCAAGCATTGGTGAGGGCTCGAACGATTGGTGATGGGCTTTATAGATCACCAGGATGATAGTTTCGTCGTCTTAGTTTTTGGAGGAGTCTAGGGGGAAGGGGGTGGCTAAACATAAGTACATAGAACTTACGGATGCGACGAACTTTGGTCCTGCCGCAGTCGCAGAAGGGGTCAGGACAAAACTGCAGCACGACTGGACCTTCACGAGCGAGCGAGGCTGCGGCATGCAAGACAGCCATTACAGCTTTAAGCAAGGTGCATTGTGGCACCTGTGCCTATGCACATGCACAAGACGCTCTACCTGCATGCATGCATACACCCGTGAAAGCACATGGCATAGGCAATGTCAGGCATCAATACGAATACATACTTACAGCAGCATTCATGCATGCATACAGGCATACATGCATACGTCTCCTAATTACAGGTCTGGTAGGTAGGGATTAGGAGGTCAGTTTACAGATCGTAAGAACAGCTGCGATCTGATCTTTCCGTGGCCTTGTCAACGATCAGCCGATCGGCCCGGATTTTCGATTGATCACTTTTGGGATCGTAATGGCAACTCTTGTTGGTCTCCAAGCTCTCGCTCACGGGACCTACGATGATCTTTGCCACCCTTGCATAAATTGCGGCCTTTATGCCCGCTGTTTTTGTGATGGTCTGCCCGTGCATCTGCTCGGGTCCCCTCCGAAAACTGGGCAGAAGGTCAATCGACCCCTTCAGCACATCACAAAAAATGCTTGCCATGCGTCTGTGGGTACAAAAGCCCATACCTACGTGCATACATGTATGCATGCATGCATGATCATGCATGCATGTGCCGGCATGCAAAAACAAACACACACACACACACGCACACGCACACACACACACATGCACACATGCATACATGCATACACAAATGTCAGTACTGGCTTGTATCGACTGAGTGAAGTGCTGGATAAGAAGCGTCGCTGTCCAGACATGTTGTTTGAGAACAATGCCAACACCTACCATGCACCAGCAATAAACCTGTCAGGATCAACAACTTGATTCTGCATTCAACAGGCCGCTCGGAGGCAAATCTGTGTTCAACGCAGTATCACGAGCACTATGGTAAGCTTGCTCCCAACTTATCCATGTCTCAAGAGCTTTCGTCGTAGCTGACATGTTCTTTGCGGTCCAAACCATCATGGTGCCGGAGAATAAATGTCTGTATTCGAGGAAGCCGCCAATTTGCAAGTGACAAGAGTGCAAGCTACGTCCGAGGAAACATCAACAAGTTCTACGGACTCCAAGCCGACAAGCTTGGTGAAGGGGGCTTTGGCTTCGTTGTGGAGGCTGGCTGCTGCCCTCGAGAACTTGGGTCGATGCACGCTTGCAGCGTTCCGTGTACCTGAGGCCAAGAGCTTGTCGACCGGGAATAGATATGCCGTCAAGAAGGTCTCCAAGGCAGACCTGGTGAGACTGCTTCACGCGCTGCCTCCACATGTCCCCGAACCTGGCGAAGCATGTCTGGTGTTGTCCAGGGTTCGGTAGCTGAGGACATTCAGGGTTAAACAGCTCCGGCACAATGGATGCAAAGGCCTCGCGCAAGTCGCACAACGGGTTGGCTCTCGTCCTTGCTGCTAGGGCTCAGACGTGACATCATCATGGCTGCAAGTTCAATTCAGCCCGGTTGGCTGCCCTGCTAAGCTACTTGCTGATCTGCGGCTGAGTCCTTCTTAGAGGAACTAGGCGCATCATTAACGGGCAGATTTTCTTTTCTAGCTTTTATCTTTCCGGGGTGCAAGAACGAGGGGGGGAACATGGCAGTGTTTAGATTGTCGATGGCTTGAAACTTCGAGAGCGGCCACCAAAGCGTGGCACAAGCTGCCTGGAAGGACCACACAGCGGGCGACGGCGTTAGCATGATCCGCATAACCGTGGCCCTGATGAGCGGGAGAGCAGTGGACTTGGAGGTGGTCCGCAACATACCCCTCGGAGAGCTGTCTCGGAGAGCTCAATTTTTACTTGGGGTGCGGGGCAGGTTACTCAGCCCTGGTGGTGGTGACCTGCACGGAGACACGACTTTGGTCCAGGCTGGCGTTCAGAGTGGCGATATTCTAACGTTGCACACTCGGCCGGTGTACCTGGCGGCGGCCGACAGCGCGTTCTCGGCCATCCTTTCGGATGGGACCATCGTCAGCTGGGGCTACCCGGGGAATGGTGGGGACTGTCGTTCTGCGAGTGCGCACTTGCGAAACGTCCAGCAAGTTCAAGCGAGCCAATTTGCCTTCGCTGCTCTGCGGGGCGATGGTTCCGTCGTGACATGGGGGAATTCGGCTTGTGGTGGAAACTGCAGCAAGGTCGCGTGCCAGCTCAAGCAAGTTCGCGAGGTCCAAGCGACTTCCCTAGCCTTCGCTGCGATTCTGCGTGATGGGTCCGTTGTAACCTGGGGAAATGCTGACTACGGTGGCGACAGCAGTGAGGTTCAAGATCTTCTGCAAGATGTGCGAGAGATTCAAGCAAGCGAGGCTGCATTTGCTGCCATCCTGGCAAACGGAGAAGTGGTGACTTGGGGTTGGGCTGGGTATGGCGGCGACAGCCAGGCGGTCCACGGGCAGCTCAAGGATGTGCAGAGAATACAAGCTGCACAGAATGCCTTCGCTGCCATCTCTAAGGATGGCTCCGTCGTGACCTGGGGGAATCCCAGCCGCGGTGGTGACAGTAGGTCTGTCCTGGAACAGCTGAGTCGCGTGACGCACATTCAAGCTAGCGAGTCTGCCTTTGCCGCTCTGCGGGAGGATGGAAGTGTGGTGACTTGGGGGCATGATGGATACGGTGCCGACAGCAGTGCGATCCGATATCAGTTGGTAGACGTGCGGGAGATTCAGGCGACTGCTTCTGCATTCGCAGCTCTGAGACACGATGGTTCCGTTGTAACTTGGGGCAACCCCGAAAATGGAGGGTGCAGCGAAGAGGTCAAGTCTGAGCTGACGGATGTCCATGCTATTCAGGCTACAAACTTCGCTTTTGCTGCTGTTCGCACGGATGGTTCTGTCGTGACCTGGGGTAATCCATCCCGGGGCGGAGATAGCAAAGATGTTCATGAACAGCTGCAGCATGTACAGCAGATCCAAGCTAGCGCTGGTGCTTTTGCTGCTATCCTGGCTGATGGGTCTGTCGTGACTTGGGGCCACTCGAGCTGCGGAGGTGACAGCACGTCCGTTCGGAAGCAGTTGAACAACGTGCAGCAAGTACAAGCCTCACGCTTTGCCTTTGCTGCTGTTCTGGATGACGCATCAGTCGTCACCTGGGGTGCAGCAGGCGGTGGCGGTGACAGCAGTGCCGTGCGTGAGGATCTGGCAGGTCTTGCCATGATGTTCAGCCTGAAGAATCGATAACACAGCTGATGGCAAGTAGCCACCTGTACTCTTTTAGTGGCCCGCTCTCTGGGCTGACATGTCTCACCTGTCGCGA